AAATTCGGCTGTAACAGTTATTTTGAACAAAGAGTAGAATTGGTCAGAACAAATTCTACTTTCTAAATACGTTATCGCTCTTCTTATCCGTATATATGATTCTTCATCGTCTTTTAAAATTTCATATATTCAGTTCTCAAAACTCAGCCGTCAAGAAATTGTCGAAAAATCAGAAAAGTCTTCGTCATACTGCTGAAATTTTTATTCAACCAGACACGCCTACTTCATCGTCAAAACGATTTGAATCGGCACTAAAACTTGTATAAAAGAGGACCTGTATTCTCTAGAAAGACTATGTAGCAACTGGTTGATATTCAAGAGTTGGTATGTGCGATTGTTTTACACTTTCCTGGTTGTCTACTCAATGCTCATATTAGTCAACTTCTTAATAGCATGAGGTTAAGATGTCAACGATTTTCAATTCCTAAATATTAAAATTTTTTATTTATTTTTGTCATCATACTAAAATATCAATTGCGAATTAAAACATTTCATATTTTGTTTAGCACTTTATGCGCTAATCGAATGACATTTAATTCACAATTATTAAACAGAGAAAAGATGAAGAACTAATTAAAATACAAAATAGGCCACTTTTTTTCGAAAAAAGAGTCTCGAGAAAAATGCACTTATAGTGTAAAAATTTGAGTTTAACGTTTACTTTTAACAATTTTTGAGTGGAATAGGCGTGTTAGATGAAAAACCTAACTCAGTACGGGAACATCCGATTGTAATGCCATCTGCTACTCAAGGGTTTCAGACCAGGCTCTTTCGTTTGTGAAGCGGACACTTTTCCAGAAAAAATGCTCGCAAGTAGGTTTTCTAGAAAATCGCGGTTCTTGACATACAAGTTTCGAATATACGGGCTTTTTGACCCAAATTTAAAAGTTCTATGAAACCTTCAGTGTTTAAGCTAGCGACCTGGTTCAATTGCCATTGGATAAAGCACATCGAGATGCATATGTGTCAACAGTTTTACGCTGTTCGGATGACCTTAAACGTTGCAACAAGTTTTATAGAATTTTGAAATTTTGGTCAAAAGATCGGTAACGGACTTCTGAGAAAATTTTTTGATATTAACGTTTAGGTGAAAACTCCACAACTCCCTATGTTTGTTCAGTTTTCAATTTCCTATCGAATCCCGTTTGGCCAAGGTGTCCATCCCTTTCCAGTGTCCAGTTATTTAAATTTTAAAAAAGTTGAAATTTTGAAATTTAAAATTTAATTTAAAAATTTTAATTCAGAGTTGGAGACTCGATTTTGTTTTAAAACGTAGCCCATGGTTTGCTGAATGTAGCCATATAAAGAGAAATGCTCCGTCGTTTGCTGGGTTTTCTAGGAAAAAGTTTTATTCGAAACCTGTATGTCAAAAATCGTGATTTTCTAGAAAACCTACTTGCGAGCATTTTCGAGAAAAGTGTTCGCTACACAAACGAAAGAGCCTGGTCTGTACCAGATGGCATTAAATTCGGTGAAGGGCTCCCTCCCCTCTCAGAAATGGTGATTTTTGGTCAAAAAATCGGTTTTGAGATAAGCACATGGAAAGATAGTCTGAAATGTCTACTTCCAGAATCTGTATTGCTTTTGGTTACAACGTGACGTCGTGGATTTTGAGCAAGTTTTCTAAGAGCCTCGAAAAAACGAGTCTTCAAATAATGGTTTTTTCCTGGATACTTATGCAATTAAAAATTTTCTGAGAACACAGTTTTGTAGAACAAACGTTTCTGATCAAAATAAGACGTCGCACAACTCTGTATGACCTTACATCAAAAAGCTACAGGCATTTTCCTACAAGCCCTAAAATTGAGTATTTCATACAGCGTTTAATACAGCGTTTTCACTATATAAGAGTTACACCTGAAGTGCGTCCCATGATTTTTAATAGCAGTTTGTCGTAGAGAGTTCATTCTTTTTTTATTTAAAAGAGGAAAAGATATTACATCGATTGACCGACGTTATTGCTCTTCTTATTCATACAATTGATTCTTCATCGTCTTTAGAAATTCTATATATTTAGTTCTCAAAACTCACATCCATGTAGATCTATATCATTCTCATATATCACCGATATGCACACACTTCGAAATAGTAATTGAAACACCGTTAATATTTATTCATTGGACAGGGATCTCGTTCTTTTTTGCGTTATCTATTTATTCCAAAACAATACCATGCAAGGATAGCTACAGTTGATCTTTAATCTATCGAATTTTGCCTGTTCTGTTTTCATTGCTAGTTACCATGGCATTCAGATAATAATTTTTATCTTCAAAATAAAAATAAAAGGTATTTGTAGACAATCCCGTTTTTTTATGTTTTTCTGCCAGATGTTGAAACTCTATTAAAGTTGGGAAATACTTCGTTAAGATTTTATAACTTTCCTCCAATTGAATGGCCTCGTCATCAGTAAAATATCTTGAGGTAAAAGGATCACTTTGGCCCGCAGATCGAGAACCATTTCACGGCGATATCATTCAAGGTCGACTGGGCAACTGTTTTTTTATTGCGGCATTACAAGCAATAGCTTCTTGTCAACCGGGTATTTTAAAATCGATTGTTAAAACACTATCAACTGATCACCAATATCGATGTGTTTTCTATCGACAAGGTGAACTGTGTGAAATCGACGTTGATCTTACTAATGTGCCAATCGATAGTCATACAAACGTACCCATTTATTGTCGATCAACATCGGAGGGTGTCATATGGCCATATGTTTTTGAAAAAGCGTATTCTCAGTTTTACGGATCATACGATAATTTGCTAGGTGGTAATACGTCCGAAGCTTTCTACGATTTATTAGGCTTACCCGTCGAGGAATATGACCTAACAGATGAAACATGGGGTATAATATCAAATTCGCTGAATAAAAAGGAGGTTTTTGTCACGTGTGGTTCAATTGACACATCTGTTCAAGTATCAACTATTCGAAGTGGAATTCGAATAAACCATGCGTATGTAATACTGGCCACTTCTGTCTTTCAAGCTCAACGCTATGTAGTGATTCATAATCCTCAAAATATCAAAGATATTCAAACAGAAAATACTCGAGTAAAAAAGGCATTTTTTCATTCAGGATCAAATCGATTATGGGAAAATCAACAAGGTACACAATTTCTAGCGTGGAAAGATTTAACAAAAATATGTAATAGAATTCAGATTTGTTATCATTCAGCAAATTCAATTCTTTCCAAACCACTATATTCCGAGTGGACGGAAATCAGTGCAGGAGGATGTTCAAACTTTCATTCATTTTATCTTAATCCGTTCATATTGTTGCCATATGACTTAAATGGAAAAAGAGTCACTATTCTTATTGGACAAAATGATCAACGATGTGAACGGGATAATCCACTTATGAAATTAAACTATCCACAACTTGGAATTACTGTCGTAAAATTGAAGAAACAATCGAATGAAGATCCAAGAACATTTATTCCTACACACGATCGATATGAAGCAATAAAACAGTCCAAATTTTGGAATAAGCGGGATGTTGCTCTTCACTTTTCAATGCCAGCGAATTATAATGTGAATACTACATCAATAGCTGTAGTTCTTTCAACTTATTCGCCACAGCTAATAACAAAATTCTGGCTACAATTATATTTGAATACAAAAATAAATACACCAATTCCGTGTAATATTCGCACAATTTCAACATGTTATTCTGAACAACAAAGTTTTATTGGTGAATGGAACAAAGCAAATGCTGGTGGACGATATCAAAAAAATACGTTTCATTTGAATCCGTGTTATCGTATTTTAGTTGAAAATGTTCAAGAATCATCGTTATCAACACTTAATCTAATTCTTTACCAAATTCCAAATGTAAAAAACAAAAATACACAAATTACACCCTTACAAAGTCATCATCCTATTGGATTATATATTTTCTCATTGAAGGATACTGTTGAAATATTTTCGGATGCCCAGTTTATTCGAGCACGTTCCATCTCAAAAACTGTCCAAATTCATACGGGACACGAATATTATGTTGTACCAGCCTGTTTTGACGCTAATTTACAGGCATCATATGGTCTACACATTTTATCAGATGTTTGTTTATCAATTACAAAAATAGACTCGATAGGGAATATATTGAAAAATAGTGTACAAAAATCACCGCCACCGATAGTTCTTGATAATGCAAAAAGAAATGTAAAACGACTAGTATTTGACGATTACAGTAAGCTTCTGTAGGACATTTATTTTTCAAAATCTAGAGATTAATAAAACTAAAATAACAAGAAACAAAAAAAGAATGATATAAATCTTTTTTCATCGAAATGTAATATCGTCCTCGTTCTCGATATAAGTTATCATATTGTTCAATGTTGGCAATGTCTGATCATTTAACTAATAATATTTTGTCAATTTATTATATACTAAATATACATTTTCTTGGATGATTCGTTAACAATATATGCTGAATTTTTGTTCCCTAAAAATGTTTAAATATATTATGTATAGTATATACTGAAATGTTATTAATTAATGTTTATATACATTTTTTAATATTTTCTATATTGTACAAAATTCGAACAAAATTTTGATTTAATTAAATCTAATTTTTGCCTGTAAATGGTAAATCAGTGTTCAATCAACAACAAAACGAGAGAAAAATATAAATAAGATTCAATTAAAAAGAAAATTAACTGTACAAATTCATAAATTAATAATATAAGTTATTTCAAGCTCTCGAAATAGGCTCATGCCTCTTAAAACTATTCTTCAGAGCAATATTTTTCAACCAGTTCACTCTATAAAATTCTTGTCATCGGATATCTCTATTTAGAAAATCGAATTTAAATTATTTATTATATTTATATAAAAGAAAAATTGTTAATGATGTATATTCGAGTAAGTCAGTTTTCTTTAATGTTCGACAGACAGAGCAAGCTTAGATCAATCACTATAATAGTTAATGACAAAATAGGGGTGGGACAGTTCCAGTTCCTAAGAACTGTTCACCAGTTCAGTTTCTGTCGAACGGGAACTGGTTACCAGTTCTTTTCAAGAATTCAAAATAAAATAAAACCGATGTATCTAGTTATATTGACTTGGTTTAATCAACTAAACACACCATCTACTACCTCTGACGCAATACACAAAGTCAATGTAAGTAGGTCACCGGTTTTATTTCAATTTTCATTTCTTTTTGTAAAAATTGTTGTGTACTAACTTCTGAATGTTCACGAAGAATTGACTGAGTAAAACATGATGTATTCAGTCTGCGTTAATGTGTTTTTAGAGAGTTTATATTCAATTTGATCCTTTTTAGTTAGCACGACCTTGTCTTATTTATCGAATAACACTCATTCTATTTATCTTCCAGAGAAGACTTAGATATTATTCATTTAAGAGAAAACTAGAATGAGTATTATTCAATACCTAAGACGGTTTTGTTAACTAACTAGGATCAAACATCTAATGAAACAAAAACACAATAACGCGACAAATACTTAGCCACAAAGAAAGTCACGACATGAAAGTAGAGATTAATGCGCGATCACGATACGATTTCGCGATATGAATCCGCGACTTCCGTGTGACAGTGAGGCAAGAATAGCAAATGGCTCGTGATCGTGATATGACAATGGTAAATCGCTCTTAAACATCGACCGAATCGTGTCCGCTACGCTTATTCTACGATCATATAACTTTCATCACGTTACGCGTAATCGTCACCACTTTTTATCAAGACTCACGGCGCAAGATTCAGACACAACACAAGCCTTTAGAGAAAATTCATCGATAAAACTTTCCCTCGAACGTTGATACCAACGACACTTGCCGCCCTTGCGTTGTGGAAGAATCAGATATGTGCATATAAAAATGGCTGCTTCTTTTTTGATTGGTCCACATCACCGACTAAGATCGATGAGTTGCTACGTTCATTTACATGGTTATTTTTGCTTCTAATTTTTCGTTTTGAGTAAAGCTGAAGATGGAAAGAAAGGCTTCTTTGCTCGAATAAATGTGTTACAAAGTCCATCATGTAACATTCCAAAAGAAGCCTAATGTCTTTTGAGAGTCTCTTAGAGCGGAAAACATACCGTAACGTACACGAGAATTAAGAATATAATTATTTTTTACTTGATATTTATCGATTGAATGGATTTTGCTTTTCTTTTGTAGTATGTTCTTTGCAGTTAATACAAATTTTCCTTTCTCTTTTACATCTCAGAAATGAATGTGTTTTAGTGATTCTTATTATAACAACAGCATTATAGAATCCTTATAAGAAGAGTATTACAAACGATGTTGCGTGAATTGGAGGTAGAAAAGTCATAATGGCTATGATAAACGGTGTAAATACGAATGATGAGGGGTCGTCGGCTACAAGCTACATGGATACTGTTGAACTACGTTTGAATGAATTGGAAAGGCTCTTGTTCAATTCTTCGATTAAAGATCAATCTGTTAGTGTTGAAGCATTATTAGATGCCTTTATTGTGTTGTACGACGAATGTTGCAATTCGACATTGAGACGAGAAAAAACAATTACCGAATTTATTGATCATGGTAAGCGAGTTCTATATGAAACAGCAGTATGTACCAATTTTTCATTCTTTTTTTCAAGCCAAATCATTTGTTTCGCGTGTTAAAAAGTGTCGTTTAAACCGTGATGATTTTGAAACAATCAAAATTATTGGACGTGGAGCATTCGGAGAAGTAAGCAGATTGACTGATTCATATTATTGTCTTTTCATTAATGTTTTTTTGTTTTCTTAGGTTGCTGTTGTACGAACGAAAAAAACTGATCGTGTTTATGCAATGAAAACATTGAACAAATGGGAAATGTTAAAACGAGCTGATACCGCATGCTTTAAAGAAGAACGTGATGTACTCGTTTTTGGGGATCCACATTGGTTAACAAAACTTTATTATGCATTTCAAGACAGTGAAAACTTGGTATAATTTTTTTTTAAGCAGAAAGAGATAACTTGATTGTTTTGTGGAAAACTTTGAACTGACTTTTTATTTCAGTATTTTATTATGGACTATTATTTTGGTGGTGATCTATTAACGTTACTCTCAAAGTTCAATGATCATTTTTCAGAGGAGATGACACGTTTTTATGTGGCTGAAATGGTGTTAGCTATTGATTCACTGCATAAATTGGGCTATGTACATAGGTATTATGAGAGACAATATCCAGTAAGGAAGCCTGTTATAGACATTTCTCTTGTTCTTTTTAAGAGATATTAAACCAGATAATATTCTTCTCGATGGACAAGGACACATTCGTTTGGCAGATTTTGGTTAGTAACAACTATCTGTTTGATAACAAGTATTATCGTTGATGATCTATTTTTTGATCGTAGGATCATGTTTACGGATGAGAGCCGATGGGACAGTAAGACAACGAAAAACCAATAGAATTTTTAATATTTAGAATTTTCGTTTAGGTTAAATCAAATGTCGCTGTTGGAACGCCAGATTATATTAGTCCTGAAATTTTACGGGCCATGGAACAGGGACAAGGTCGTTATGGTGCCGAATGTGACTGGTGGAGTTTAGGATGTGCAATGTGGGAAATGCTCTTTGGTTTACCGCCATTTTATGCTGAAAGTTTATTAGAAACTTATGGAAAAATTATGATGCATGTTCAAAAAGAAGTAAGTATACTAAAAAAATAACATCGTTTATGTATTATATATTTCGATAAAGTTGAAACCCCAAATGGTTAATCAACATAGCATAGTAGTGTTCTTATCCTTTGCTTTATTTTAGTTACCGTTGCCATTTCCAAGTGATATTGACGTATCTGATAGTGCTAAAGATTTGCTGAAATATTTATTATGTGCATCAGAACAACGTTTAGGAAAGAATGGCTTAGATGATTTTAAAAATCATCCGTTTTTTCAATCGATTGTGTGGAATAATATTCGACAATGTATGTTGTTTTTAATATTATTGATTTGAATATATTACTTTTTTCATGATTACTCTATTTTCTAGCAACAGCTCCTTATATTCCTGTTGTTAGTAGTCCGATCGATACATCAAATTTCGATGTTGATGATATTGAGCCGTCATCAAAAGTATGTTCAATTTTTATTACTTTTTCAAATTTTCTATGGTCACATGTGCATGACATTCTCCATTAGTCCATTTATTGTTTGCGTTTAGAATCATAAAAAGGTATTGTTCTCGATCTATTTATTATCGCTTTGTGTAATTCTTTGTTTACATACGCACAGGAATATTTTCTTTTTTTTTCGTTGTATCACGCTTTGGAGAATTCGTGCTTGTTTACGTATATCATTTGCTTTTTTTGTTGTTGTTGCTCTTGTTTTCTTCCCAGTCATTCAATAATTAAAAATTGATTGACGTATAAAGTATATTTTACTTCTTCTCGTTTACGAAATAGCAGTGCGACTTACTGTTGTGAATACTTAAATAATTCTCTGAAACAAGCCGTGAAACTGATAGCAAGGTGCTACTGACACACCCAAGACTGGCAGCAACTAAAATGTTTCTGACCCGGCAAAATGTATATATATATATAGTATATTGAGTCCTGTGTCTGGCAAACTACTAGCTATGTTTACTTAATTTTTCTGTCTAGATTCGTTGATTACTTGATCCTTGCGTAAACTTATTAGGAAAGATTTATTACTAGCGCGTTTTCTTGGAAAAGTGAAACAACTATTGAACGCAAAACTCAAGACACTATCTATAAATGTATTTTAGCGCGTCAGCAACATTTTGGTTACTGTCATCCCGAGAGTGTCAATAGACCTACCTACCGATCTTCTTGTCGCTTTGAAAGACGCTTACCAATTCCATTTACTCTATGCTTACTTCTCAAATTTAAACACTACTAAACACTTGTCTTTTTGATAACTTTTTCTGCACTAAAATATTTGAATACGTTCCAGCCTCGCTGCCGATCCTTCTGAAATTTCACCGACTGGGCTAAAAATATCTGGTCAAGTATCTCAGAGGTTAAATTTCTTTTTTTCGGAATATATTGGTGCATTCGAAAAGTTTTATCGGAAATATGTGAAACGCCTTGTAGAATCTTGATTTTTGATTTTTAAAACCCTTAGGTCAACTCAGAAGCACTCTTTTTCTTAAAAAAAAAGTTAAACTTTTGGAGAAGCTTCTGAAGTAACTGTGGTAAAAACTTTAGTCCGAATGGATGACCTTTTAAGAGAGACGTAAGCAAGGCCCATTGAGTGCATAAGGAGGTGTTTTGAACTAGGAACATTGCAAGACGAAAATCACTTTTTTGGAGAACTTTCAACAAAATGCACATAACTCCATTAGACAACATGCTGTAGAGTCGAATGACATCTCATTTTGTTCAGAATTCTTCACTCTATAAGACTGACTATTTGAAAAAACTGTCAGGTGCTAGAGCGAAGAAAATAGAGTTTTTTTGGAGTAAAAGTAACAAATTTCAAAAAGTTCGTATCTTCCCAGTGCAAGGTCGTGTAGAGAGCCAGGAGTGATCTTATTTTGTAGAGGATATGTCACTCTCTGATGTCTCATGTTTGTCTCAAAAATGAAAATTTTTTCTAAAATGAGGGGTGTGTACCCTTAAATTTCTAGAAATTTGTGGTTGATTTTTAGTGAACTGGGTGTATGTCTTTGCTTTATTTGATTACTGTTGCTATTCATCATTTTTACTATATATTTATTATTTTTTCACACTCTGACATATTATCTATAATTCAGGATACCGTGGCACCAGTATCCCATGCAGCATTTACTGGTCATCATTTACCGTTCATTGGTTTTACCTTTTCATCAAACAAGTAAGTAATATTCTCTTTATTTTCCCTTGTATATATATTATTTTTGGTATAGTCGTTTTTCCGATGGTGCCCATAAACTGTCGTCGTCGACATTGTCAAGCGTCATTCAAGTTCTTCCACCGACTGTCCCAATCGTTGCCAAAGGTTTGTTCACAGACATTTTTGTCTTCGATTCCAGTTCATTTGGTAAACCCATTTTTCTTTCGCTGTTTAGATGTATGTGATTCTTCGTCTGATAATTTAACGTCAACAATTCAATCATACGAAGAAACGATTGCATCATTACAGTGTCAACAAACCAGTTTATTAGATGAACTAAAACGTTTACGTGAAGTATACGAACAAACAAAATCGGATACAATTGAACAATCTAGACAAACAAAATTGTTGAAAGACTATTATGAAAATGAAGTTGATTCTTTGACGAGTCAACAATGTGATTATTATTTTAAAATTTTGAATATATTCAATCATCTTCGACAAATTTCTCCAACATCTGTATCATCATCACAAAACTTGAACGAATTACAAATGAAAATACGCGAACATTTAACATATTTTGATGAGAATCATAATCAGACATTGAATATTAACCAACAACAATCGAATAATTTTATAAATAACGATACGTCAAAACGAAAATTATTAAATAATGATAAATTATTTCTCGATAGTTTACTGAAATTTGAACTAAAATTTCAACGATTATTTCAAAATATGAATAAAACGAAAAATGGCATAGATGATGATCCATCCATTGAAGATGAGAGCGATGATGATTCGGAAGAATGTGATGGGGTTGAAAGTGATGAAGAATCAGTGATTATAGGAAATGAACAACAAATTATTGACGGAACAGATTTAAGTACAAAAAAATTGAATAAAGTGATGAAATATGTATATAAAAAATTGAAACTTTTATTACGTGAGAAATATGATGCTGAAGAAAAATTAAATATATTTGAAGAAAAGCATTCATCTTATACAAAATGGGAAACACAAGTTTACGATATATTGAAATGGATAAGTGAAGAAAAAACGGCTCGAACACATCTCAAGGTTAGAAATACATTGTATCCTAGGCTTAAGTGTCTATTTGACTTACTTGAAGAAGAGAAGCGAGATTTTTCAATAATGTTTCCAGTAAAAAGTATACCATGAGTAGTTTACTATGGTTATCCAAAAGATATTGGACTATGAATGATTTTATTTATCTTCTTCTTTTAAAGGGGCTTGCGTCGAAAATGGCAGAAGAATTAGATACCATAAGAGAAACAGGATGTTTAACATCACCATTAACATCCTCGTCGTCGGCTGGTCATAACACGGTAAGTGAAGAGAATCATTAGTTAGTTATTTAGATCCCTAGTCTTCGTGTACATTGCGTTCAGTTCTATCTATGATAAAGAGTGCTGGTATTTATTATGATCTGTTCTTGTTTTTAAACATTTGAATATCTTTTTGCTAGTCTTGGAAACATGGACGATCGGTAAAATTAAAACATATGGAAATTCAGCAATTACAAACATCCATACAAAAAGAAATTGAAGCAAAACAAAAAATTCATGAAGAATTAAAAGATTGTCAAGCAGAAAATATTTTGAAAGTCCAGTATGTGTATTTGACGTTCATATCAAATGTTATCTTATCTTTTTAACTTTGTTTTATAGAGAAAATCAACAATTACGTCAAGAAATAGAAAAACTTCAACATGATGTAAATCATTTCAAACATTTGTATGAAAATTCGATAGACCATCGTACTCCAAATAGTAATACGACACTTTCGGTTGCTCTACGATCACCGGGAAGTTTAGATGCAAGGGATAATATTTCTCCTGGTAAAATAAAACACTTATTGAATAAAGAAAACATGGAAAATATGATTTGTATCTTAATTTTTAGATATTTTCATGGATAACCAGTCGTTTAATATTAATAACACATCGTTTGATCGATTTTTACGCAGCGCTACAACTGGATTATCGGAGAGTCGTGTATGTTTTTATCTCATCTTTCAAACATCTTTTATTCATTTTTGTTTTATTAACTTTTAAAAGCACGATGAGCTGTCAACGATAAGTGATGGAGATAATGGAGATAATGTCGATGATATTGTACAAACAAATGTACCAGTACAGACAATGACATCAATCTTGAAACCACTATCACCATTGAAAGTAAGTTTAGATCTAATGTTTCAAATGTAATCGAACGTCTATATATCATTTTTAGAATGAGTATCATGATTTTCATATTGCAAATTTTCATGTGACAGTAACATGTGATGAATGTCAAAATGCATTGATTGGATTGATTAGACAAGGTTTTGTTTGTCAAAGTAAGTTTGTACACACACACACGTCATCTCGTCTGGATACGATTCAATTTGAACACTGTTTCACTTTTAAAGGATGTAAATATATTTGTCATCCAGAATGTATGGAAAAAATAACAATGCCCTGTCGACCAACTCTAAAAGAAAGAAGTAAGATAAAATTTTTAGTTTTTATCATTCTATAAATACTTGATTGTTATCTAGATCGATCAACAGTGGCTGATCATCATATTATTCGAGTGCGTATAAAGTTATTATTTTCTTCTTTAAGGTTTAGAATATATGTTTTTTTTACGCATTTTTAAGGTGCCGAAAGCTGGTGGAATAAAAAAAGGTACACAATACCAAGAAAACGAATAATTTTCATAAGTTAATAATTATTTTATTTTAGGCTGGATGAAACATCAGTTACTTATCTTACAAACAAAACTCTTATTTTATGAATTATCACCAGAAAAAGATAATAAAATAACATGGGCACAACCGTCTTTTATTCTTGATTTAACGTTTGTATTCATTATTCTACTTTTTTTCCTGATTAAATACGTTTTTTTTTCTTTATAGAGATGAAGAATTTCACGTTTCAACGGTGTCGTCATCCGATGCTTTTCATGCCAATAAAAAAGATATAGCTAGTATTTTCAAGGTATAATTCATGTTAACTACTTTACAATACAAAATTATTTGAATTTTTGCTTTTTTCGTTGCAGATTAGTGTGTTGAAATTAGTTTCACCAAAACATCTTTATCAGACGTTAATATTGACAAACAATGAGACCGAAAAAACACAGTATATCAATATGCTCTCGAATTTGTCCGCCAAAGTAAAAGCTATTAAACAAAATACTGTAAGTTTATTTCGGTTATTAGATTCAAGTTTGTTACGCATTATATTTGTTTTTCTTTGCATAGGGATTCATTGCCAAAGAATTTTTTGATACATCACGTTGTACCGGATTAAAAGAATCACCAGCAGCAGCCATTTTAGGTAAATATAGTCCATATCTTTGAAATGTGAAGCCGTTCCGTTTATACCTTATTCTTCATAAAAGAGGTTAAGTGTTTTTTCTATCAGTCTAAGCTTCAGATTCACTTTATCAGAAATTTATCTTTTTTTTTCAAAGATTCTGATCATGTTTTTGTTTGTGGTGAAGATGGTCTATATTTAATTAATATAGCAAAAGATTGTAAGTAATTTTATTTATGGATACATCCGTTCTCTTAAGAAGTTTGTTTTTATTATTTAGCTTGTCATAAATTAAGCGATAAAAAAGTCTATCAAATATCGATTGTCAATGAACTGAATTTATTGTTGACATTGTCTGGAAGACAGCGTACAATACGTTGTCAACCGTTGAAACAACTCGTTGAACCGTTTCTTCATCCACATCATCCTCATAATACTCATCAACATCACTATCATCATCATCATCATCAAATATCATCATTATCAACAGTAGAAGGTTGTAAAATACAAGAAACAAAAAACTGTACAACATTTGCCGTTAGTAAACCGACAACGAATAATGGTCAGGCAATATTGTGTGTATCGATTAAAAATCGTATATTGATATATCAAATATTTCAACAACGTCCATTTCATAGTCTACTGAAGGAGTTTAACATAGTACATCCGGTACAATATTTAGAAATTAATCAAGATAAACTGTATTATGGTAAAATATCTTTAATTAGATATATCATTTAATATTGAGGTATATATATATTTTTTTGTTTTGTTTAGGTTATCCATCTACATTTGTTATGCAGAAAATTAATACAACAATTGATGGTACTAATATTTGTAAGTAAATATATTTCTCACAATCTTCAATATAAAAATGTATAAATATTTGATATATTGATTGAGTATTCATGGATTATTTTAGCTCTTCTTCGTGATGAAGATCCAACTTTACAATTTGTTCGTGATCGTCCCATCGAAACATTACGTGTAATACCCGTTAGTAATAATAACAATACTTCAACTGTCAATAACAACATTGAACTTTTACTTGTATTCCGAGAACTGGGTATCTACGTAAATCAAATGGGTATTCGTACTCGTCATCGTGAGCTAATGTGGTCAACAGCTCCCGTTAGTACAGCATATAAAGAACCCTTTTTAATGATATTCACCGATCGTTCAATTGATATCTATGATGTTCCATCAGCTACTTGGGTACAAACCATTCCTTTACAACGAACTAAACCATTGACAAATGATGGTTCAATTTTGATAACGAATGATCCAGATATTAAAAATGACGCAGCAAAATTGCTCTATTTTGTTCAACGTTCACATCTTCACTCGTCGCCATCATCAAAAATTTCCACCACAATTATTCTGAATGTACCAGATAAATCAAAAAGTATTAGTAATTCCACAAAACGTTTTCGTGTACCGTCAAGATTGCTAAGTGATCAATCATCGAACATTCATCAACGTTTAAACGCACCACAAATATCCCAAATAACAACGTCAATGATTACAAGTGGAAATGATGGTGGTAGTCAAGAAAATGTAAAATCACTTATTTCTGGTCCAAAAGATTTTACACATATATCTCATTTGGGAAAAGGTGAAGGTTTACAAATCATATCTGGTCTCAAACAAATTTCACCATCAAATACGTTGATAAATAGTAGTCAATCTAATTCATTAAATTCATCTTACGGTGGAAGTGGTAACACACTGAATACACAACAACAAAATTTATTTGCATCAAATGGATCAGTATCATTGAACCATCGTCGATCAGTAATATCGGGACCAGTTAATTTTGTACATTTAACACATATCGGTAGGTAGTGTTATTTATTAAGTGTTTATCTATTGTTTATATAATCGATTATACTATTTATAGGGCCAAGTGATATTACCACATTTTCATCAGATCTATCAACAACAAATACGTCAACCAGTAAAGCAATTATATCTGCTCCAATGAATTTTCGACATCAAGTACATATTGGACCATCGACATCAAATGATGAAACAAGAAAAGAACAACAAACAAATAGTAATATAATGAAACAATATGCTGTGGGAAGTGGAGGAAATACTTCAACATTATCGTCTCGATCAATTTCATTACAAGACGATGAGGAAGATGACGAAGAGGAAGTCGATGAAAACAATGAGAACAGTAGTATAAAAGAAAATCGATTTATATTGAATAACAGCAACGATGAGAATGGTAAAAATAGAAAAAACCAAAGTTATTCGTAATTTCAAAGTCAAAAAAATTATCACGTTTCACAGACAAAAATAGTCTCTTATTGATTTGAGAATGAATTTTTTTTTGCTTGTATAAGTGAACTTACAATTCTATCTTACGTTTTTATTTGGCAAATAAGCGTAATGCATATTTGTTACCAGTGGCATACACATACTCCAGTCAGATTGAGAACAAAATGAGTTATTAAGTCAGCTCGTGAAAAAATCTATCTCATAGAGAATAAAAATCATATTTATATTTTCCCAGATCATTGATTGTGCTTCTCGTGATTCGTTGATTGAGAAGCTGCCTGTCTTTCTTCTAAATATCATCATTATTGGTGCTCTTAGATATTGTACCTTATTTTTTTATAGCCTCTCTCGTTGTATTTCACAGAATGTAGCTATATATTTATTTTGTATAATCAGATAAAATGCGAATGTTCGAACAATTACAAATGTTTTCTTTTTGTATATTTTTCTTTTATCTATGCAAGTTTCTGTCTTTTGTTTGTGTGTGTGTGTGTGTTATTTTTTGATTGAAGTGCAATTTTTTTATCTCTTCCTTTCTCTCTCTCTCTCTCTCTCACACGCACACATTTAAGTCACTCTATATCGATCGAACAATCGTCTGTAAAATGTATGTACAGATAATTATAGACGATATAAAGAATTTTTCTATTTATCATTGGAATTTTTTTTTGTCTCACTAACGCTTCGTAGTTTAATTTTATTCTGTTTTCTTATCATAATTCATGTAACTTTTATGTTTTACATTTACATGTCAAGATGTGTGTGTGTGTGTGTGTGTGTATCTAATAAATTATTGTTTGGTACCTTTTCTTTTTCTAGTGATTTTTGTTTGTTTTTTTTCTACTATATCCATATTATAAGTGCGTTGTTCTTTCGATTTGTCATTTTTTTTTTCTACAAATTTATTTAGTTATATAGATAATATCTATTTCAGTTTTCTCATATTACTATTATTATCTGATACACTGACTTATGATATACAAATAATAAAAGCAAAGCAAGTATGTATTAAAATGCAGAGTACGAATTGTATATCAATTTAAAACATATTTCGAACGATTAACCCTATTCATTTATTTATGATCACAGTTATTTTAGAGTGGCACTCATGTACAGAAACTAGGAGCTAAAATGAATATTAGCTCTAAATCTTTTTGTTATGTTTAATACATAAGACACAAGGTAGAAAAAGAAAAGAAAATATGAAGAATATATTTTTTTGTTGTTTAAATAATGTTTGAATTCATTGTGTACTATAAAACTGTGACTAAGAACTATATACATTCAACAATCAACAATATTCTCATTTTTTTGTAATCAAACTTAGGATATATTTCAGAAATCCACTCATATAGAGAATGAAGATTTCTGATGTTTTTCAACATTCTATAAACACGTTCTTTATTTTCAATGACGCCATGAAAATCAACTTTTTTTTCGATTATTTCACTAATTCAATCTGGTACTTATATCGACAAATCGATGAATATTATTATTATTATTTGACGCAAAATTTCACTTGTTTCGAACGTACATAGAAAGATGGATAATCAAAAATAAGAAACTAAGTTTGGTTTCAATTGTTTGATAACAAATACATTTGAAGTAATTTTGATAATAGTTTTTCTAATATTAAAAATGTTAATTGTTAGCTGATGGATAATTCAATATAATGGATGAAAACTACAACAAAATTATGTTATTTTTTTGTTTCTTTTTACTTATAGCAATGCTCTTGACAACTAGAGTCATTAAACAGTATATCTAATGAAAATATTTGATAACTATCATCATAATAGATATTTTCTTGTATATCATCGAGTTGTTTTCATCGAGTCACATTACGACCCCTCGAAAAAATGATCCAGTCGAGCTCAAAATTTGACCATAGATACTTTGGACCCTATCTCAGGTTTGTTTTTTTCTTTTCGAAAAATATGCTTTCCTTCTCAAGATATTCGAAAAATACTAAAAATCCTGTATAAAAAATCGACTTTTTATTTTAAAAACCTTCCCACGCCGAAAGTTGAAATCGAAAACGCTTAAAATAAAACGAACGTGAGATAGGGTCTAAAGTATCTGTAGTCAAAATTTAAGTTCGATTGGATTATTTTTTGAGGAATCGTAATGTGACTGGATTGAACGGACTATCGAAAAAACACATAGTAAGAAAACATCCGCTGTACACAGGGCTCTGTTTTTCAGCGTATTCGCGGTGATGCTTATATCTCCACGAAGCTCTTCAGAAAATTCTGAAAGACGTCTCATTTGAAGAGCACACTTTCTTCTATCATGCTATCTATATAGGAAAGGAGAAAAATTTACGAAAGTAAAACTTTGAGATTTTCTAGACTTTGAAGGAAAAACTTGAAAACTTCATAATTTTTTCAAGGAAGGTCGTGGACAACTGGGAGTGATCTCATTTTATAGCCCAGACTTTTCTCTATACTAACCTATGTTCAGCTCAAAACGGAAAGTTTTTTACAAAAAGAGAGAGGGGAGAGTACCCTTAAGTGTTCTTAAATCCATTCTGACAGTTCTTTTAGACGGTTCATCTGGCTAAGCTTGTATATCAGCCGTTTATGCCCATTGGTGTCAAAGATTGTGGAGAAATTCATATACATATGCATACCAGAGATGTGCGTGACCAAGATTTTCGATTACGGTACCGTCAGTCATGCACATGTCTAGTGTATACACATATATTTATAATGCTACAGAATGCTGTCCTAAAGATGTAAAGAAATCTTCTGTAAGTTGTGATAAAACACTCAGTGGCGGCGAAGCCACTGAGACCCGTGAGGCTCGAGCCTCACCTGGTTTCCATCAGTTGAGGCTCAGTCTCACTTGATTTTGGATTGAACACTCTGTTAAAATTTGTAACTTTCTGTACAGCACAAGTCATAGTTCAGTTAGTATAGCTGATGTCATTTTCTGTTCTATTCCTTTCTTCCCACGATTCATAGGAAAACAACGATTTGTTAACCCTTCTGGAAATGTTATCATAAGTATCGAACGCGTTGTACAGTTTAAGATAGGTTCAAGCGATTTGATAACTAATCTTTCTTTGATCAATAAGCGATACGAATTACTCTCAGTGCAGATGACGCCGACATTCAGCCAGTTTATTGTATGACCCTTATCCTTCTAGTGTTGTCCTAGTGAGGATTTAAGTTTTCTTGGTTCATTATCTGATCTATCAGATGAATCATACAGTTTGTTAGAAGCCTGATTAGTAGTTGTTGAGACAATTTTTATTTGAGTAGTTAATAGCGACTGCTGATCTCGTATTCTAGATGATCGTCTTGGATTTGTAGAGTACAGTGTACAACTGCTCGCCGTTTCTTTATTATAGGGCCAATTCCATCCCTTGACTCGAGAATATCTTTTTCATGTCTTCATCAGATTTTTTATCAGAGAGTATACTGAGGCCATCTTGTTGAAACAAGTCTTTAGGAGCACCATGCTCCTAGAGTATATGAAGACCCTGGTGTTCTGTTTTTCCCACATAATTATTTTCAAAATTTCTATATTTGGCCAGATAGACTGTATCTGACTTTGGAATTTTATCTTTCGTTGGAAAGAAAGTTTGTATAGCCGGTGGAGGATTTGAGATAAATCGATATCTGGCCGAACTTTCCCCGAAAACTGCGTCAGTTTCTTTTTCAAAATTTGTGTAGAGTACCCAGCATATGGGATTTCCATGTGGATCCGTTTCTTTTCAGGTCCGATCATAGGTTTTTTCTAGCATATTATCTAATCTGATCAAATTCATCATTGAATTGAATAAAAAGAAGAATTATATTGAGCTTGACGCTTTGATAAGACTTCGATGGGAGAAGAAAAAAATACTGAGCTTGAGCTGAGATTCATTTTAAAATAAAAATGGCATATAATATCGTTGTTGAATATTTGTTCAAAAAACACATCATCTTCAAATTTTGTTTTACATGACAATCTAATCATGATTAATAATAGTCATAAACCTGCTGTATGAATGTTGTTTTATCGCCTTTAACAAAGCCATTTATTCGAGAAGACAGTAAGTAACTATTTTTTTCTTCTCAATTTCACATGTCTAGAAAAACAGAATAAAACATTTCTTCCTTTTCTTTGGATAAGAGAGTGTGACATTCAAATCTGTCTTTTCGAAAGATTAATGCATTTCGTCTTGAACAGAAAGAAATATATATTTTTAGTTTATATTCTACTCTTTCTTTATTAGTTTTTAGTTAGGTTTTTTTACGAAAAAGAGAAGAAAACCGTATGGTCAATGACGTTCACTGTACTTCGTCTCTTTGAACGCTGGCTGGCTAGATTGATTAGAACATCTGTTATTGAAATAAAATGCTATGTTGTCCCCACTCAGCTTTAGGAATCTAGAAATCTCGAATTCTTTTAATTTAAAACAAGATGGAAGAAAGACAACAAAACAAGTAGGTAAAGTAACAACACTTAGTGAGTAGTGCTTCATAAATAGATAAAACAGTAAACATACGTTAATGGATCGGATATAGTAAATCGACAATGTTATCACTCATTCTTCTGTTCCTAGTCGAACGTAAAACCTGCGCACGAGTTGAGTTAGTTTATGCAAAATACGATTTATTGCACGTCCGTTTTATTTTGAGTTTTCATGCATGATTGCGCAAGATCAGTTTCAGCAACTTGATTGGATCTGAATTTTCGCGTTGTTCATTTTCAGCCACCTACGTGTAGACATGCAACAATCCCAAGCTGGGGCTTGCTGTTTGGCAGCGAACAGTTCGATACCGAACATGTCCGCTCATCAGACGTGTTCAATCTAGGAAATGCGATGCGACCGAAAGTGTTCGCTGTCATTGATTGATTGCGAAAATGAGCAGTCTTTTTCGCAATCAATCAGTGACAGCGAACACTTTCGGAAGAGTTAAATTCCTTTTGCGCACATTACTTCTATTAGGAAATCACAAGCTGTTGAGTGAATGAATGAACCAACGTCTGATAACGCAGTTCAGTAGATATACTATTGAGTAATGCATTATATCTTATTTACTCTCTAAGTAAAGCACACTTTACTGATGTGACCTCTGCGGTAGATTGATTTACTTTGTTTCATGCAAAAATACATTACTTCACTGTACAGCCCTAATTCGAATGTATCTTTATAAGGCTTATGCTACTTTGTCTTAATAGCTCCTCAACCGAGAGCCCGTCGGTATCTCCCATGAAAAGAATATATTTCTCATTTCAGAACTCAAGAAAGTCACACCTTCTTATCTAAAAAAACCGTTATTTTAATGTTAAAACAAAGAGAAATGAACATTTTAAGTGGTCGAATGATAGATTATTGGGCTCGTTGAAATGAACAGTCATGCGCAGTATATTTGATCGCATGTGCGTATTTTTAGCAAATCAAAACAACCGTTTCGTAGTCTTAAATAATATTCATACTCGCTGTTTATCATGCGTAATCGAATACAATTTGGACATAAAAAAAACTATGTCTATTTTTCAAAAATATATCTGAAAGTAATATTAATAAAAGCGATTTCTGTTACGTTACAATAGAAAAAACAAAAAGCTTTTTTTAATTAAAAATAGTTGGCTTGTGTATGTATTGTTGAAATCGAAGTATTGTTTCATATCTTGAATATAGTCTTCTGGATGATGAGTGATGCACTAAATTCTAAAGCACGATATTAAAGGGAAATAGTTGATCTAAAGTCAAGAGGCAAGGATAATAATATATACAACATAATAATAAGGATAAGAACTAACATCTACTTATATTAAAACGAACAAAAATCGAGTAGATTTATGTTAAATTCCTATGTAATAATTTTGTAATACTGCCTCATGGAAAAATTTTAATAGATAACACAACATGTAGATCCTTATGTGTGCGTACATGAATATTGTGAAATGGTGTATGGACACATGTGAGAAAATATTCCCACTTATGGGGACACAGCAAGGTGAAACTTTAGTACAAGGAAATTTGAGCACGGAAAATTTGGGCATTAGAAAAGATCAGCGCAATTACTGGTTTTCCATAGTCTTGAAACAAAAGTACGAACTGACAATTAATTTGGGATAAATGATATTTTTTACGAACTATGCATGGAGTTATGTATAGATCATGTCTACAAGTATACAATTAAGATATTCATTTTGAAACTGAGTTTAACAATGTAATAGTAGGATGACGAATAGAGTATTTTCAAACTCAACGTAGAAGTGGCATAAATAGACGAAAAGACACTGTTGCCATTATCATATATTTATCATTGTTCACTACAATTTCAACGGTAGTATAAAACATTTGTATTAAATATTTGTTTAAACATTCTCACTCTTGACTAATATTTACGTCAAGTTTAACGATATGAATTCGATAAAATGTATCAGTGTGATGGTGCAGATGTAATTGAAATGGCTATATACTTCGTACAGCATAATGTATGATTCTCGACTTTAAAAACCGTTAATCAAATGTATCATTTGACTTAGCTTACTAATTTGTATCCAAAGCACTAGCTTTCATTTGCACCATATGTCTTATCGAGAATGTTTGAAATATTTGATCTCAATATTAATTTTCAGTTCATACGTTTGCTTCAAAAAAACTATGGGAAACTAGTACTTGCGCTGATTTTTCCCAGCGCTCAAATTTCCCGCACTCAAATTTAACGTTGCTGTTTTCTGGGCGCTGCATGTGGAGCAAAGTTTTTCGCTTGTGACCATCCGCGAAATGCTTAGAAAAAATTAAGCACGAGTGAAAATTGTGAATTGCGTGTTGATCACTAGTGAAATTTTAGAAAGTTCGCGCATTTGATAGTGTAAGTATATAATCCTAACATTGTGAAATTTCAATAAAATTCCATGATTGACATCCTCGGTTTATACTGAGAGTGGAACAGACTTTGTGATGTAATTAATATTCAAACCGATCGGGAATTGCAATTTTCTTTCATGCATTCGTTATAAAAAACATATTCAAGCTGATGAAGCAAGAAGGCGCACATCTCAGTCATATTCTCATGACTCATTCGAGATATATACACAACTTATATCATATTAATCATAAAATTCAATCATGACAAATATATCTCTAAAATGATATTACATGAGTGTTGTTATGAGACATATTATTCTTAATCCTAAATCTAAATGAGAGAACACAAACAATAATTAACAAGAAAACTTAAATAATAGAACAAATGTTATGAAATCTATTATCCATATGTTATTTTTCACCTCAATAATGGTGAATCCAGATTATGATCGTCTTCTCGTGTAATAAATTTTGTTGAAGTTTGTGTTATTCGATTATTGCTTGTTATTGTTGAATGCATTTGAATTTCACTTTGATTTTTATTTGGCGCTAATAGTCGAATTAAAGTTTTTTTTCGTCCTTGTTGTGATTGTCTCTCATCTTTATCTTTAAAACGACGAAACCAACAACAATAGAAACTAATACATTTTTTACGAAATAATGTACCAAATATACAGAATGGTATAAAATTTGTTGCCGCATTTATTAAAGCAATTAAATTGACTAATTCATGAAATGATCGAGCAAATGATTGTGAATTTTTATCGAAAAATAATGTAATACTTGACTCAAATGACCATAATCCCCACAAAACAATTGTTGGTATTCGACAAAAGAGTAATATTAATACCATTACAATAACCATAATTGTGACATGATAAGATGATTGGTGTTTTATTTTTCCTAATTTTTTTGCTCGTTGTTTTATTTTACGTAATACACATATTAATTGTAAATTAAATGTAATATTGGTTACAGTTAGAACGGTATAAACAAAAACAACATTAAAAAACATATATGTCCATCGAAAAGCTTTTGTTGTACCTAATTCAGTAAATTTTTTAGTGATCATTATATTTCCTTTATGATTAGAGGTATTACGTTGTTGATGAGTAAAATTGAAATTAACAGTAACATAATGAATTTTATATTCAAATATTAGAGGAATAATGTAGATAAATGCAATAAAAAATAATATTTTTAATATTAAACGTGCACGTGGAACAGTACACAATCGTCTACCCATAGCAGGATGACAAATTAATATCCATCGATCACATGTTACAGCAGTAGATATCCATAATGATAGAACACGTGAACCAGCAGCTAATGCACCAAAAAAGAGTTCAATATATTTTACTAGTAATGGTTTTAAAAATATTGAAGTAGGCATATGTTCTAATTGTGTCATTAGTATAGAAGAACATGTTATCATATCGCTAAGAGTTAATCCAGTTAAATAGATAAATGTTGATAAATTAAAACTTAATTTTAATAAAACAATAAGACTCATTAAATTACTTAATGTACCCATACAAGAAAATAAAATATTAAATATTGTAATATAAGATGAAAATGATTTATCATTTGAACGATTAATTTTAACCCATAATTTGTCAATATCACTTTGATCAAAAGTTAAATCATCATCATTTTCAATTGTATTAGTGATAATGGTATTATTAATAAATGTAAGCATTCTTGTAACAATAATAAACAATAAATATAAACAAATTCTTAAAACGAAAAAAATATAAATAAATTTTTCATATGATAACTTTTAGTTCGTTTTTCTTTTCATTTTTTTTTTCATGTTTTAAAAATAAATTTTCTCGTATGAACGAACAAGAATATAAATTTTTAGTTTTGAACAATGAGAGAGTAATGCTAATTAATTCTATAAAAAAAAGAATTAATTTGTGCCGTGTTTCAAGTAAACTTGAAACCTGAATAACATGAAAAAAAAAATGAAAAGAGAAGAAAATCATCTAATTTAGGTTGTTTAAAAATAAAAAAGACGTAAATGTCATCTATAGATAGGGAATGAGTATAAACTTTTTATTGATTAGAGAAGACAGAGAAAGAGAGAGAGAGAGAGAGAGGAAACTGGGTGTTATGAATGCTTAAGGCTATGTATATATATATATGTGTGTTCAGTTTTTTTTTTTGGTTAATCGCCATCATCATCAACCTAGACTCTATCCTGTTGTTTTCTTTTTCGCTTTCTATCGCTTTAATATGTTTTTTCTTATTTGTTTTTGAACATTTATTCGTGTTTAAGAATCGAAATATCGTCATAAAACACATAAAAAAAAACCGATGTTTCCATTCAGTTCATCTATTATTATCTTACAATTTTTATTGACATGCCTATCGTGTTTTGTTCTTTTCACGATTGCATGTTCAATACTAACCATTTATTATTACTTGAAAAAACATTATTAAAGTGATATCTTATTTTTTTTTTCTCTAATTATTTCTTTTCGTCATGTAAAGAAAAAAACAAAAAGTTTGTCAAAAGTTATTTATTAATCGACTGTTAAAAACACTTAATTTAAAGCAATCACAATAAATCATTTACATCTTATTGAACTTAACATGATATATAACTATAGAATATTTTAAGTTGTATCTTCTATTTTGATGTCTCTCCATAAAGATGAAAGAATTTTATACTCTCTGATCCATACTGACAGAAATGTAAAATTTATGATGATACTTATTCAATAATGTTAATAATTTACAAAACGTTTTGTTTAAGCCCTCAACTGAGTACCTCATTGAGTGAACAACTAAGATTGAAAAATCATATTTCTTAAGAAAATTTTAAAAATCTATTCTTTGATTGAGAGATAGTTATCTAAAGTTGACTTCAAAATTTTTTCTTAATAGTTTTTCTCGACTATATCTCTAAATTCGATCTTTTACAATTCAAATTTTTATTGATGTTAGAAAAAAGTACTTTACGTATTATTGTTCTGTTGTCAATGTATGTGTATAATTAACTTTCGAATCAAACACCCACTCAATCAACAAGATTTTTGAAGCTTAAAAAATTGTAACCAGAAATTTTTCTTCCAAGATAGATTTCCTATTTTTATTTTAGTTTATTTCTTTTTCTGTTTGAATACATTATTTTCTATAAATCCATGCATATAACCAGTGTTTTCTATATGGTATGCGCTTTTAGCTTTTGAACTAAAAAAAAGATGAACCTTGAGAAGAAAGAAAGAAAAAATTATTATTGTTGTGGAAACATTGTTTCGATTTAGAATAGAAGTGTGAGTGAATTCTGTTAGAAATTATAAATCATAGATGAAATAAAGCCAGAGGTCCTTTATTTTTGATTGCAGCATGTTATTTTATGCTCGAATAAAACTCTGTTTTCCTAACGAAAACGATTATAGTAAAAAAAACTTTTATGTAATTATCATGATAAACGGATTAGATCATTCATCAAATCCTACGCAATACTTTCTAGCAGACAAATGTTGTCGCTTCTACTTTTTTCATATAAACTTTCGATTTATTTAATCGGATACTTACATTTCTGATCCCGTTTAATAAATTTTCGTTAAAAAATGCACAAATAATCCCGACTTTTCTAATAATTTTTAATTAGTTATAAAATAATACAACTGATCACGGAAAAAGTTGTGTTTTTTCTTGAACAATATAATTGATTTCGTAAAAATTAGTAAATCATGGCACCGTCTTTCAATCTGAGGCTCATTGAGCAACTATGTGATCTCGTTTTAACCATAGGATTTAGCTGCCCAAAATTATGGAAAATAATGTAGAATAAACAACTGTTTATTCTATTCTATTAATAAACAACTGTTTTTCTTTTAATTGAAATTTACATAATGAATATTTTCGATATTCTGAACAAATATATGTAAAACATAATCCATAATCAAGTTGTTCTGTACGTTTTTAACATTTGTTATTTTCTTTGGGGATTGTTAATAATTTATCTTCATCTTTAAATTAAAAAAGTTTTGCTATATTCGGATAGAGATGTTGATAAGAGAATATTTTTGAAATAAATAATTATGCGTTGTGAAGAATAGTACTTTTCAAACGTTTTTATACTTTTCAATGGACGATAAAAATGATCGTCGTCTTTGTGGTATGAGATAATGCGATTGTAGATACATTGTTATAAATTATGTTTCCCATAAAAAACAGTATACAAAAGTAGTCAATCTTTAATATGGATAAACAGCTCAAATTGTATATTCTTATTTGATTATATGCAATAAATCATACCTATTCTTAATCTGAACTGTTTTCTTGTATAGATCTACCAGATTAATCACCTAATAAGCAAAATAATTTCTTCTAGCTATCATAAACCGAAGAGAAAGCCGGAAAATGATGATGATAAAGAAGAACATTTAACTATTAAAAGACCACATAGCTGCTCAATAAGTCTCAGATTGAAAGGCGGTGCCATGACTTGCTAATTTTCCGGAATCAATTATATTGTTCAAGAAAAAAGATAGCTTTTTCCGGGATCAGTTGTGTTATTTTATAACTAATTAAAAATTATTAGGAAAATCGGGATCATTTTTGCATTTTGTCGCGAAAATGAGTATACGGGATCAACTGCGCTTAACACTAGAACGCCCGGAAAGTTTCATGATCTAGAACGCCCAAAGCGGTCATTTTGACCGTTACTGTTTTCTTTAAAAATTTTATACTTAAAAATGGTTCTGAATTAAAAAATGAATTAAAAATTCTGCAAAAAATAATTTTTATGGGACAAGTTATGACATAATTTATTTTTAAATAAATTAGATACAGTTTGTTTTATTAAGGATAAAAATCACAAAACGGTCAAAATGATCACTACAGGCGTTCTAGTGTTAATTTCCGGGATCAAAAATGTAAGTATCCAAACTATATTTTGGTTAGATAAATTAAAAAACCCTTTTTGTTGTACCTGATTAACACGGAATATTTCAAGGTTTTTTTTCTATTATCTATTATTTTGCACAACATTGAAAGTTTTGATAATAATCTTACCTTATCTTCTATTATAAATGATGTTTATAAACCAGAAGAAAAACAATGTCGTCATTAATATCAGTTTTGTTTAAAAGAAAAGTCATACAACTAGCAATCATGCGTTGAAAAGTGTTGAGTTAATATACTGAATGAGTTTAAGTGACTATCGACACATTGAAAATTTCTTTTTCTTTTTATTCTTAAAGAAGACTATCCAATCCTCCGCATTAGGTACGTAAATAATACCTAAATTTTCATTATTAACGTTGTGGAAAAAACTCAACATGTTTACTTGCTCTTGCTTAGTCTATTTTATCATCAAATTTTTTGTTCATCTTTAGAGACATTTGAAAACCGTTAATTTAACATAATATATTAAATTAGCTTTTTTGATTTGTTGACATACTGTAAAGTCGTAACAAATAGATGTCTAGTCAAATTTCGTATCAAATCATTCATAAAATGCGTCACGTCAATAGCTATGGTAAAAATAAATTAAGTATTCATCGATTATACTCCTATAAAAGTTCTTCTAACATCACTACTATTCGTCAATGTTGATATAAACAAAAGAAGTTTATCAAGGACATTGTCGTACCTCTCAAAAAATAACATTTTTAAAGAGCTAGATCTCTAATGTTTTTCGATTCCTAAAAAATTTAAATTATTTAGAGACGTCGAGTGAGTGAATCAAGAGTTCGATCAGCGCCTTTTGCTCGAATATTCGAAGGCGTGCGTATGCGATATTTTGACTTGTCGACTTACTCATCGAAAGTCTAATAGAACTGACCATTGTTTTTAATTCTAGCTCTATCAGTTCTTAAGTTAGATAATATATGCTTTTAGGCCAAAAAATCAGGGCTTTTTCAATACCTTCTTTTTTGGTTTAGTGTTTTGTTCTACGCTTTCATCTATCTGAGGATAACATGGAATTTAAGATGAAAAGAAAAACAGAACCAATAGCATACTGAAAATACCAACACCGGTATTTAGTGCAAAAGAATAGATGTCCGTTTTAAATGTTCCTAGTAGTTGCATATCTTGTCTCCATTTAAAGTCAAATTCTTGATGCTGAAATGATGCCTGTTAAAAGTGTTAATCTCTTTTTTTAAAACAATGACCATATACATATATACTCGCTATCCAATATATGGATGAAAGAGAATATACCAGAGTTATTACAAAAGCCATCATAATAATTCATTTTATATAATAAATACAAGTAATAACTGTCGAATTGAAGCATCAAAAGGTGAATTTTCTTTTTTGTTGTTTTCCGAAAAACAAAAAAACACATAAACGATAAATGTTCCATATTTAACCGAGAAAAATAAAAGAAATTAGGAAAAAAACAGACTTGATGCGATAATTCTTTCCTCTATCATAAATAATATTTGTACGCGATTCTTTGATAGTAAAAATAAAGATGTGTAGAAGAAGAAAAAAATATGGACAAAAACAACAAAAACAGAGTGTAAACACATATCAACGTCGGACTAGAAGGGAAAAAAATAGAATAACAAATATCAGAAAGTAATAAATCTAAAAAGAAGCTCATTTAATTTTTGTAGTAAACATCTTTGTAAGAACAACAAAAAAAATGCAAAAAAAAGCATTTTTTTTAATAAAATAATTTATAAATATTTCCATGAACTAGAAGAAAACATATCATTGACTTTTGATATTTTTTTAGAGACACATGCTTTTCGGTGTGTTAGTTTCTACTCTATAATCTCGCATGTCGGGCAGTGCATAATCAAAGTGGAAAAAATTGGGTAACATAGTATTTCAAGATAGCGCCACAGAATGTTATGTGTAAACAATGGCTTAAATACATAAGTAGTTGCTCAGTTTTCATTCAGTTTAGAGTAGAGAAGGAGAAGGTATAAATTAAATCAATTTCAAAAACGCTCATTTTGTCAGTTTTTAGAATTGAAAAGTAAGTTTATAATTAAAAATATTAGTCCAAAACCAATCGGTACCGTTCGGTGGATTGCACGAATTAAGATATTAATAATCAGATATTTACATTATCCTATGGTCTTAGAAAAATAATAAAAATTATAGATTAAATTCTTCCATTCGTGCTAGAAATTAAGCATCCCGCATATCAAATCTAATGGCTTTTAATGGAAAAATAAGTTGCAAATACAGAATTCAAAAACAAAATTAAAACTTCTATTTAGTCCAGTGATGATCTTATTTCATACAAAATTTATATGAAGATTGCTTTAACCTTCGTCATGAAGCTCAAATCATTCTAAAGTTGGTTATTTTTAGCTTATCAACTCGAATAAGAATCCATCGGATCTTCTATTTTTGTTTACTAACTTAATCCTTTCATTGACAAAATTTCGCTTAGACTCGTGTTTTATTGGAGAATGATTTTTCTGTCCTGAGAAGAGGTTATTTTTATGATCTACTGTTCGGTGTAGCTAGCAATCGGTCATCCTTCGAATCAAAAGGTTTGAATTTTTGTTTTCACACGAACAAAGCTTAAAAATATATTATTAGACGCAGTTTTTCGCGCTGATCACGAATTTGAACTAAAAAAAACTGAAAACAAAATTTTTTTGACGTTTATTTTGTGAGTCATTTTCTGGTCATTTAGTCTAATTTTGAAATTTTATTTTTAGCTGCATCGGATAGAGAACATTTCAGACTATCTATCGATGTACAAATCAGAGCTTGACAAGCAGTTTTGTGACAGAAAAAATATGTCCTAAACCATTTGCAAAGAACAGAAAAAAAATGATGAAATTCCGTAACGGTCACTTTTTTCTGATTTCCTCTGTCAGAGAATTAGTTCTAATTTGGTAATTGCACGATCATTTCAAAATTAATCTGAGGCTGAGTAATTTACATTTTACTGGAATACCTAGAAAAAAATTCCATGTTTTGAAATTTTATAACTATTTTGACTGTAATTTTTGATCCACTTAATCAATCAAATTCAAACAGTAGAATCCGCCGCTCATAGTCATCGCTGATATAAATTTTAGCGATACATGTTGCTTTCGTGACGAGATAAGAGACGCATAAGACGAAAACAAATGAAATTCTGTAACATTTGACCACGCCGTGTTGATGATACTAAAAACGATCTGTTTTTTTTTTTAATATGATATTTATTTTTGTCTTATGTGATGATTAGATGATTTATTGTAGTGTAACAATCTGTGTAATGCACAGTTATCTATATCTTCTATGTAGGCTTTGTTTATGGTTTATAATTCATTTATCATCAGTGACTTCAATGATACACATATATTTATCTGCGTCTAACATGTGTCTATAGTTTGTTTTCTATTCTTTGTTTTTCAAGCAATAATCTCATATCTACCTACGTAGTATTGCTGCTTTCGCTGTTAAAAGACATCCTTTGGCAGAGAAGTATATAACAAATTGATTTGTCTTAAGATCAGATAAAATATAGTTTTATGTATGAATTTGGAGAAAAGAAATGTTATTGTGGGTGATATTTTTCTTCTTCTCTCAGAAACGATGATATTTATTATTAGAGATATATACGTCGTCTTCCGGTTTCTTTTTTTTTCTTCTCTTCTCTGTACACATAGCAAATAATCCATTTATTTGTACATGGATCTACAATATAAAAGTGAAAGGATTTCCATCCTTGATGTGACTATAAGTTTTTAAAAAAAGAAAACAAAGTTAAGTTATTGGTAAATAAATTACAGTACTACGACAACAATGCAACGTTATGGAAATTGGTCAAGGCAAGTATAATTTTACTTTTTCTTGATTCTTTAAATTATAGAATCAGCGTCAATTTTACTCATAGTACCTTTCGTGTTTCATTCTCTAACAATTTAATGTAATATGTACTTTTTCTAGATCTCAACAAGATATACATTCAAGCTATGCACAACCACATCGTCAAGAAACATCAAAATCTTACTCGAAAGAAACATCAGCCTCATCATCATACAGTCGATCATCATCAAGTACAAATCGCAATTCATCATCCAATAGACATCGACGTTTATTGAAAAACAATTCACTATTTAATGATTTCAACGATTTTAATGATCCATTTTTCGATCGATTTTATGATGACGATTTTTATTTTGATCGATTAGACGATGATTTTTCTTTACGTTCACCATTATCATGTAGAAACAATAGCAAATTTAATTTCTCAAATGATGGCAGTTTCTTTAGTCGAACAATTCCTGTTATTAAACGATCATCGAGTACATCATCAACAGGACGAACAAGAACAGTACCAGTAGAATTTGTTCAATCATCAAAAAATAAACGACAAAATGGTTCATCATCTGTATGGTCGGGCAAGAATTCATTTGACAACAGTAAAGGTAATCTCTTTTAATTGTCAACATAAAATATAACATTCATAAATTTACATTACACTTCATGATTCTGTTTCAGGTAGAACAATACCGGTATCGGTGCTAAGATCATCAGATTTCACTTCGCCATCTTATATACCAGAAAGAAAAGGTAGGTGTTGTTGATCTTCCTTCGCTTTAAATGAATTAGCTTAACATTATGTTTTGCGACAGTTTGAATAAAATTATAATTACATAATACGATAAGCAAAAGAAAAAAACATCTAACATTTAGAGATACCAACACGAAAAAGAACGAGTATGACAATTCATGTCAGACAACCTTGTACGTTATATAGGTTTTTTGTTTTCTACCAATCTTGGGTGTATAATATATAACAGCTTAATATATATTTCTCTTCTTTCTTTGTTTTTTTTATTCTCTTTGATACTTTTATCTTGAGCATTCTATTTATGCTTAATGTGAGAAAAATATTCAATTTGCAAAATAGTTTGAATTTCCCACATAATTAACTAATGTATTCGCCATGTATCTGAATGTATATTTAACAACAATCAAATTCTCTCCGTTGCTTTGACCAACCTACCTCGACATGAAGACAAAATTCAGTATGTTTTCATAAACAAAACATGTTTTTCTTTGTATTGTAAGCTTCTATTTCCTGTGTAATATATCTCCGTATCATTTGCGTTTTGTCATCATATATTGAACCTCTTAATTGATTAAAGATAGTGATAAACCTTGAAATACTAGCAATAATTGAATAAATCTTTTGGTCTATCGGAAATGAGAAAATATTATGATGAGAAAACTCGTTAGTGAAATAATGTTTCATGTTAAATTTATTAGCTTTTATATTAAGGTTAAGGATGACTCTGCCTCAATAAGCCGAATTCCGATAAAAAACACGATTTTTACATTTTTCAGCTGAATGAATAGCATAAAATGTTCTACTGTTAGAATATACATCCCAAACATTTGCAAACTTTGAGTCAATTTGGCAAAATCCTTTTCACGCACAAGTTTGTATTTGTTTGCAAACTTTTTTCAAAAAAGAAAATATTTGTAAACTTGTGGATGGAAACGATTTTGTCAAAAAGCTGTGCATTTTTGACACAAAGTTTGTAGATTCCCCGCAATGAGATGTTTCTAAAATACAGGCATTTTTTCAAACCCCTCACTTCATTATTGATTTTGAAAAATCAATTTTGACCGACAAACGCGTGATTAGATAGAGTAAGATTTTCTCTTTTTAACGATCTGCTTTTGTTCTGTATAATAATGTAACGCAGCATTAAATTATATAAGAAAAACTAGATTTTGTACTATCATTCATTCCATATTTTCGAACAGTCGCAAAGACATATGCACATAGTATTCCAATGAAAAAGCAATATTTTGTCACGGAAACAACACTTTCTCTAGGTCACTGACTATGATATGATGAATCTGGTGTGCAGATATACGGACATGCATATACTGGTGCATTTTCAACGATTATTAAATGAATAATAGAACTCACCAATGAAAGAGGGAAAAATGTATTGTATATGCGAAAATATGTGTCACATATGTCTCTGCACATGCTTACCAGATCTACCCCAGTTAAAAACCTGTCGCTACAAATCCTCATCGTTGTTTAAAAAATAACTTCTTCAAAACAAAGCATTTTAAACCTTCATAAGTTGTTTCTCGTTGTTCTCAAATCGAATTTTGTCTTTGTTTCATTTTGGTGCTACAAAGTTGAAAAATAAAGCCATTTCAAACTTTGTAGCATCAAAGCGAAGGGAGACATGCTTAAAACGTCCGAAGTTCCATTTCGGCTCTTATTGTGTCTGTAACTCCCGAATCACATGAGATATAAACACGAAATTTTTACTATAACTATCTACGACATGTTTAATATTCGCAGAAAGTTTCATAAAGATCCAAGTTAATCAAAAATAGCTTCCGACGAAGGGGAACTTAAAAAAGTTTTATAAAAAAAATTCCTAAAAAATAAAGTTATTGAAACAAATTATGGTTGTCACTACACCGTAAAAAACAAGTACTCCACGGCACTTTTTTAGGCAATGAATGGGACACTTTTAAAAGTGTCCCAGTAAGAGTCATTGTTTCTCAGTTTTGGCGTTGACAGTGGCTCTCCAAAGTGCCATGGAGCATTTGCTTTTTTTTTTATGGTGTAGGCTTATTAATTAATTTTTATTCGAATGCGAGCCATTTGTTAAGCAGGTCCTTCTCATGAAAAGACAACGTTGCGCTGACGTGTATAATTTTACTCTCTTTTTTTTATCTCTGTATTTATCTATTACCGTGTAAAAGCCCCTACAGATTTTACATCTTGTGTCACCTGCAACTTCGAAAGATTGAACATTTCTAAGTGAAAATTTTTCATAACTTACAAATACGACAGCATACATCCCCTAAAAGTTTGATTTAACTCAAGTGCATGGTGTGGAAAAACGCTTTCTAAGATTTTAATATAGCATGTATATTGTTTAAGTGAGCACTATTTGTAACTTTTTATATATTGATATCCATTTAATGAGCATGCAAATGTTTATTTTTATCTGATGTATGCTGATATTGTTCATTTTCTTTTCTTTTTTTTTCTTTTATTTTTAGATTTAAACTACAGTGAAGTACCATCTTCATATCGAAGTTCATCGTCAAATATTCCGAACAGTAATTATTATTAAGAGTTGTCTATGTATGACAAGCAATGAGAAAATCGAAAGACAAATAATTTTAAAAAATAATATTTTTTTTATTTAAGTATACCATACTGGAATACTTTTATTGATTAAGAATAACTAAATTAAAATTTGTTTGTTACTGTGGTGTTCCCTTTTTATTTTTCTACGAATTATGTGTAGAGTTAGTTATTATTTGTCTTTCAAGTAAATCTATTTTAGTATCATTTGAAACTTGGTGTAAAAGTGATGATTGACCAAGAGTATGCTGATAATCAAAAGAGATCAAAAAAGTTAAAGATTGTTTACCATTTTCGTACGAGAGATTAATTGATGGAACTCGATAGTCTATTCATAAAAATTAAGATACTAACAGAACAAGAAAAGAAAATAGAAAATTAAAAACAAAAAAGACGAAACTTTAACAGAAAAACGTTTTAAAAAAAGATCTTCCAGTACAATAATCAAAATACATAACTAAATACGGCGGCATATATTAATAGTTATGTACTTATATCTTCTAAGTGTGTGATTCTTAGTCTTCTATTGCAACAATACTGTATAAACAATAACAAATAACTGTTACAATCTTAAAAAATAAATTTTGATGCATAGATTTAGAAAGAGAGTGTTGGAGATCGACTAGAAACACACAAAATGGGAAAAGAAAAAGAAAGATGTTATACGAGAATCTAACGATAACAATGGAAATACATTCTGATATTTTTTAAAATAAAACATCATGACATATTGCAGTTGAAAAAATGCGCAAAATAGAAAATAAGAATCACTGTTTTGAAAACGGGATTTGCTTAACAGTTAAAAAATAGTATAAAAAAGAAAAATAATCTATTTATTTCACTGTAATTCGTTGAGTGAATAGAACTACTTGATAGGTTTTACATAGTTTCCCGGAAATGTACCAAATTGTAATGTTTTTCCATTACTATCGATTGTTCCAACATACCATCCATCATTACACATTTCTACAATATTCACAATATCTCCAACATGAATTTCTAATTCATCTGGATGTTGAGGTATGTAGTCATACAACACTTGACATCTAATAATAAATGCATTAATCGTACTAAAAATATTAACTTATTATTATTTTTCAATGAGTCTTACTTTTTGAAGGTATTTTGTGCAGATGGCAAGTGAATTTTTTCAATTGATGGTTGTTGAATCATCGTTCGTCGTTGTTGTTGTTGTTGCTTACTCGCATTTCGTGATGGTTTACTATCATTTGTATGTTGTGGTATACTAAATAAAATCGATGAATTTCAATAGGAGCTAACATATTCGATAGAGAGTGTTGTACCTTTTCTCTGTTTTTTCATTTATTTTGTGAGGCTTATTAGATGTTCTAGTTTGTCCTTCTAAAATATACAAACAAAATGTTAACTTATTTTGATATTGATTATAAAAATATTCAATACCTGATCGATTAATTGGTTCTTTTAGTGTTTCAACGTAAGATGATGGAAATATGCCTTCAACGTTATTTAATCGTCCTTCATACCAGTTTTCATCTAATCGTTTTAATAAAATGACCCGTTCACCCTGAATAGATATTATTATACAACACTTTTTCCTATCCTTAATTATAAATCACATACTTTTCTCAATTGTAATTCAAACGTATTCTGAGGAATAAAATCATGTTTTACAATTGCTTCACCGTCTAAATTATTGATTTGTGAGTTTGCTTTTATTGTGTTGTTATCTTCACTGTACGGATATAATTCAACATGGTTGAATGGAAATATTCCAAAATTACCATTATGTTCACCTTCCAACCAATCCTGATTGATTCGACGAGTAACAGAAATAATATCACCTTTTTTAAATGGCAATTCTCTAAAAAAACCAACAGCAATAAGATAATTTTTTATTATAGTATATCAGAGGATTGTCAAACTAAAAAAATTAATTTCAATATTTGACTGCAAACGTTAGACGTCTCATTTTTTGAATAACAAACTGTTTAGCAACTAATTGAAAAGCTTTGAACAAATGTGAGGTTATATGCTACGAACGTTAGAGCAGAAGCATATATTACACATCTTGTAGTGATTTATCTGACATTGAGGAATGACGTTCTCATTCGTAACACAAATGCTTAACATTGTTACTCAATTTGTGAGCTAAACTAGTATTTTCCCGGAGCCTCACTATCAGGATATTGATACCCTTACAAATAAAGTACTATACTGACGAATCGCAATTTCCCAGGTCCAAGAATCAGATCATTATACGATCTTGGCGGATCGTATGTTAAGAAATTACAAGATTTCAAAAGATCTTATCAATTCTTATTAATTTCCTATAAGATCTTATAAAAGTTCATATGACATCTTGTAGCAAGATTCTTATAAGATTTTTCTTATGATAGGAATGTACATGATCTTATAAGACCATACGCTTGATTATTTCCTGTCTAATCCCTCTATACCTCTGCAATTTTCTTTTTCTATATAATTTCTAACATTTACAGGTCCTACGTGGCCACATATGACCGCCTTTTCTCACGTTTCTTAACCATGCACTTCATATGTGCTCAACTGACGTGTGAAGTTGAAAAGAGAAAAACGTTTCAAGTTTTTCAAAGAGAATAATGTTATGTATATACTGTACTGTAATATCGTCACAAAATTAATATGGTAGCGATGAGTCATCGATCTTATGACAAGAATTCATATGATTTCGTAAATCTTACAAAATCTTGTGGCAGACATTGTTGACTTCTATATATTTTCTTGCTACATAAGATCTTACAAGGTCTTGTCACTCCTTATAATCAGATGTCGAAAGATCTTACGACAAGAAGTTACAAGATTCCATAATATCTTACATTATCTTATAACAAGATCTTGTAAGATCATATCGTAAGATCTTATTACACGATTTCACAAGTAAACACCAGACCTTGCAAGGTCTTACAAGACGTGATTCATTTGGGTTATTTTCGATTTCTTTTTTTCGTTTCTTTTGCAGATAGATTAGTCATTTATTAGATAACTAGTAGTGTACAGATGATTGCAGCGTGAAACGTCCTCTCTTTGAGATTACTTTTGGTTAATCTATAATAATCAATATGTTTAAGAGAAACAATATACCTGTTTGATTGAGCATGAAATGTGTATAATGCAAGCGCTTTTTGAATATAAGAGCTTGCTCGATTCGTTAATGTTCTTGAACTTTCATAACTTGAATTCTGGGAATTATCTAATATTCTAGAACACATGCATTTTCGTCGCGATTTTTAAATATTTGATACACACACCATTTATTTACCTAAAATTTTTTGCTGCATCTGTTTGACCATTAACTAATTTTGGTGTTGTCTGTTTGGATTTTATGCCAATATCAATATCTTGATTACTTTTCCAAATCTAAATAAAGTAGAAAGTTAGACGGTTCGGAATAACAGTCCCACACATCCTCATACGTACATGATCATCGGTAATTTTTGGATCAATATCGTCTATTATAAAAAAAAGGAATAAAATGATTTACAGTTCTATGTCATTCAATTAATAATGCAAGATATAAGGTGGATGGGCATTTTTCTGTCTACGGTTTGCTGTCACTAAAAAATCTTTTGACTTTTTGTACATGGTTATAGAAAAGATGCATGGAAAAATAACAAATCTACACGGAGATGTTTTTGAAGAACAAGTTGTATCAGTCCTTTTGTCATGATTATGTGTATCACTTGTCGACACAACTATTTCATTTTGAGAATTAAACAATAGATTTCACTTTAGATTTTTGAGTTTATGTATATACACGAATTTGAAAATCTGGATATTTCTACATGACGAACAACGATATGTAACTTTAGTGTTACCTTTCACATTTTCTGTTGATGCTAAAATTATGATTTAAATAAAGATTCAAATCATCCTTTTGTAAAAATTTATTAGCAAAACTCCAAAATGTTTCTTGACATGACTTTTGTTTAAAGAAGAAATTGGAAAACTGTATGGATTGAATTAATTCTCAAAGAGATGATAGATCGACTTTAAAACAACTATTAATACACTCAAAATCAATTTTTAAAATTTATTATACATTTCAGTCACTAAATACGCTCGAAAAAGTACATAGATGTTTGTATTAAACGAGACATCTGTTTATAGATCATCTTATTTGTTTAGGTCATCTGCATGTAAAACGAAAATATCTTTTATTTGTTGAAAACTCTTGCACAAAAATCATTTTTCCCATATAAGGTGCCAAAAATTCAGAGAAAGAGCAAAATATTTTTTCGTTTTTATTATATACACAATTTCGATCAGCTTTGGCATAGAGCAGAAAAGAATTTTTCCGTACAACACTGTTGTTTGTCTAAGATTGCCAATGCTAGTTCTATTAAAAATGAAACTTACTTCGGGGTTGTCCCACTTGCCATCTAACATCTAAAACGAAAAAAAGAGAAGAAAAAAAAATGAGTTTTAGCAGTTAATAAGAATTTGCCAACGATATATGATTAGATTACGGTTGACGACATTTGTGTCAAAGTAGATTATAGTTTACAACGTACGTACATATAACCCTGTTGTTGTCAAACTACTTGATTTTATGACAGATAACGGTTTTACATCTACTTAAATACAGACATCATACTTTCATTCAATCAAAACGAGAAATAATGGAAATATAAGAGCTCTGTATCAATTCTTTCTCAATTGTATATCAAAGCGGATGTATTTTTTCCTTGAAAATAAACTTTAGAATATCTGATAATAACCATCGTGTCTAGTGTCTTCAAAAGTCATTGCTACTTTTCTATGTGCACGCCTAATTACATCATCCTTTGTGTTTCTTAAGAACTGTCAAAAATTATCTGTTTAATAATAAGAATAATGATTGAGAACATGTCGCTTTTCTTTTTAGTCATGATCAGAATAGACGGACGTTAAATTCAGAAATTGTAGCAATTTTATGACGGACGTGAAATTAAATGAGCTCGATTGTAATAAAATTCTATTTTATTTATGTAAATGAGAGTTTTGACTTCAGTAATTAATTTATGAAATTTAATTAATGATTTGTCAGCAGCAAAGTATAGTTCAACAACGCGTCAAAGTTCTCGATTAGGCCATGATAGTCGCGTGTTTATTCCTCGTTTAATGTCAAAATCTGCATCTAGCTCTTTTCTTCCGCGAACATCAAAAGATTGGAATGAACTACCTTCTGTTTTAGCCTGTCAAACTTCTTTAGCCACATTTAAAAATATGCTGAGAGATTACACAGGCTTTTAATAATGTTTATTTTTAAATTTTTAGTTTTCGGTTATCACAGGGTATCCACGGATGCCACAAGTCTTTTGTTCTTTTTTGTGATATCCTGCACTTTAGTAAAAATAAAATCTTATCTTATCTTATCTTATCTTCGATGAGACATTATGAAAGGACAGCTTAATTGAGAATGTACTGATGGGATATGAATGTAGACTTCTATGGTTATTTGAGCATAAAAAGCTCATCAATTTATACAAATTAAATCAAAGACTTGATAATGGAAAATGAAAACGTATGTTGTAGAAAATGTTCATTCAGTTGCATAACCACTCGGAATAAGAAGCGTCTAAAGAAAGTTAAATTAGCTTTAACAAAAGACTGAATATTAGTGAAAAACTATTGTTAATCTAGCATCTTATTTTGCTCTTAAACTCATTTTTTATTCTTATTAGATATACTTTGCTACTGATAGATCATTAATTACCGAGCTCATTTATATCTTTTCACAGTATAAATTCATTTAGGAGCTCAAAATTCTCATTTATTTAAATAAAATAGAATTTTATTACAAAATCTCATATCTCAAACCCACCGAACTCAAATATCTCTTTTGTCCGAGCTCATTTATTATTTTATTCTTTTATGACTACTTTCATAGATATTTAAGAGTTTTGGGCTCTCTGTCTGGTAAAGTTTTTTTGTAAGTGTTCATCATATCCTTTAAGTGAATAAAATAAATCACTCTTTGCTTTTTTTTTATGGCTTTATTTCAATTTATTTAAGAATAAATTTTTTTTTATGTATAAATTATATAAATAAGTTTATGTTGCAAAATAAATGGTACTCTATATTACTCTTTCGGCACATTTTTGGCTTCTATGAAGAAGAAGAAAAAAAAAAAAAACCACTTGATCCTTACAATATCAAGCAGCTATTCAATTAGAAATTTGAATAGTTATATATACATATATGTATATAGGGATTTTATATTTAATTGAAATCTTTTCTTTAAAGGTAATCAATCGGATATATGTTTGTATTGATAGAGTCAGATATCGTTACTATTAGTAATAGTAGACACATATTTTGATATTTAATATTATGGCTACTCATCTCTCTTTCTTTCTCTATGTCGAATAAAAAATTTAAATCTCATTTATACAATGAATACATAGGACTATATATAAATGAATTAGATATATATACAGACAGAGATGTAATTTGAACCAACCAGATATATAAAGTAAATACATAGAATAATATTTGTCTATTTGAAGAAAATAACAATTTCTATTTTGCTTGTGTATCAATGACAATTCTTAATTTAAATTGATTATTGATAAAATTAATAACTATACCACGAAGGAGAGAGAGAGAGAGAAAGAGAGGGAGAAAGAAACACTTTTCATTTTTAGATGATTATATAGTGTGTTTTACACTAATTGAGGAGACGACATATTATTATTATTAGCACGAAATATAGAATATTGATGAGAATGTGAAAAAAAAATGTCATTGATTCTTGATAATAAACACATCATACATTTTTAAATGAACAAAACAACATAATTAAACATTTGAAGGACATATTTCTCAATTGATATTAGAGCCAAAGAAAACAACTTTCTAAACTATATTTATTCAAGTTTTATTTCTAGCTTACCAACAATATTCAAATATGGATGAAAATAATCGTTGATTAGCAAGATTAAAGTTTTCAACAAAACAAGTCATTTTGTTTTTATTAATAAAAATGATCACAATAAAATGTGCCTTATGAACAAAATAAGACGATTAAATTAACAGAGATATATTTTAAAAATAATAAATTTTGAGAAATGATCACTGTTTCCATGATGAAAAAAACATTATGCTATTCGCGAAAAGTGTCAAAAATTTTTTACTGTATCGCACACAACTGAGAACATATTTTAGAAATCTGTATGAAGTTTATAGGATCTTTTCCTATGATTAACTGAATAGTGCGGAAAGAGATAGGGAGAAGCTGAGTAGAATCTGGTGAATAATACTATCTGAAAGAATTAATCGTTAATTCTCTAAAATGTCCTAATTTTTTCTAAAATGAAATGAACAACTCAATTGATAATAGTACACATATCAAGATAACATCTTTTTTAGAAAATTAGATAAAAGTTACTCTTTAAAAATCTTTTTCGAGTTTGCTATTGTAATTCGGTTTACTTTACTTGGACAAGCTGTTCGGACAGTTTGATGACAGAAGATGTGCTTATGTACTAAAAAATCGTTCCATAATATTTTAGGAATTTAGTTCGATTATTCAATCGCAAATACCTTGAAACAAAATTATTCTAGAAAATATGTTTCTTTTGTCAAAAGATCTCAAATATATTACTTTTTCAAAAACAAATACATCATTATTCAATGAAAAAATGAAAAATATATATAATACGATTATATATCAATACGCATATATAACTAAAACTCCTATGACCATGAATAACAATTAAGTACTATATGTTACTCAAATTTCTATTTTTAAAAGAAGATAGATAATAGGGGTAAGTAATAGTCATATAGAGATGAAACTGTTTCTCCCTCATTTCTTTCCTTGTCAACGTCATAAACCTAACAAGAAAAACTACGAGAAAGCAAAATGTTGAGCAACGTAAAAAAATCAATAGATAACATTTTCATTAGTTATAAGGAGCCATCCTTCTTTTAAAATATACCGGGACAAAAAACGTTCGGATACTCTAGTCTACTTTACAGTTTTTAATAAATAAAGAGAAGGACACTTAGTACCAAAAAGAGATCATGTTAATAATATTTTCATTTCACGAGTGAAGTAGTCGTTGATGATATATTATTAGAATACGTGGGTAATGTCTTTTCTACTGTATATTGATGATATTCTTTGAAAGGTTTATTATTCGACGAATTGGGATTTATATCTTTATTTATTATTGTCTCTTCATGGTGTTCACCACCTGAAATAAAGCTTTTTTCTCCTCCCGTTGTCGTCGATGATAAAGGTGTACTACTGAATACTTCATCTGGAGATGACATACTGTGATCTCGATTTTGTGCTAATTCAGTCGAATGTTGTTGTTGAGAACGATAATGAATATTCTCATCATCCGTACTCCTTCTATAGGGGTTTACAGTTTTATAAGTTTCAGTTTTATGAGTTAGAGGTTTATCTGTCGTGTAATATTTGTTACTATTATTATTTGGCGATCGATAATGAGATATTTCTTGTTCATACTGTTGTGGTTGAGTATCCCATTTTTCGTCAACAAGCAATGAAGGTGTTATTTTATGTTCACGTTGTAGTTTACTTCGTAGCGGTCTATAGTCAAACGTAGCACTTTTAGACTGTCTTAAATAATTCTCAGTATGATTATTCTCAACAGGATATCGTTGATGTTGCTTATAAGTTGGTGTATAGAGTGGAGTTATGAATCCACCTTCTCTATCATTACAAGAACATCTGCCCAAAGAATAACGTTGTTCAACGGGATAAGACGGGAAGTAAGATGGAACATATCGTTTATTATAATCTGTGTAATGTATCGGCATGTAACGATTTTTATAACGAGAACTTGGTAATGATGTATAGCGGAGGTTATTTGTTGTTGCTGACGATGATGGTAACGTAGATGAGCAGTAATGATCACCTCCTCTTCCTGTATGAAAACGTTGAGCAGTCGAGTATTTTTTCCCATGATGTTGATCATAACGTGAATGATGATCATTGTTTACCGACGATGGTAATGGAGGTTCGTTCATTAACGATGACAATAGCGGTAGTGAATAGACTTCACTAGGTTTTGTGTCACCATCACGAAATACTTCAATGTAATTACGTGTCGAAGTGCCGTATTCTGGTAAGATGCTTCTACCATGATATAATGGTCCAGAACGATGAACAGTGTACGGTGGTCTCGTGTAATACGAACCGTAGTAATCGACGGGTTTCATCGAATACAATCGACGATAATATGGATCCATGTATCGAGACTCTATATACGTTGTTGGTTGGTAATATGTACGGGTATATGTTTGTCGAGACGAAGGAACAGCTGAAATATGTGGCGGAGCAAATGATCGTTCACTAATCGTTGAATCTGTTTCGTAACCTATTGGCATTTGTTCAGCATAATTCAACGGTAACCACGCAAGTTCAATATTATTATTCTGTTGAGTATACTCCTGCATTCGTTCCGGCCGTGATATCGAGTTTCGTTTGATTGGCATAGATATATTTTGTTGTTCACTCAGTTGAGGAATACGTTTATCTAGCAATTCAATGTCTTCACGTTTTATAGTTGTTGGCACTATTTTGTCACCTTCCCATCGTTTTTCTTCTACTTTAGGAATAAATTTTCTACCACGATCGTCTACGTAATCATTGATAATTCTTCGTTGATCTGTACGATTATCAACTTGATGAGGTGTTGGTGTTGAAATAGTTGTTTTAGTTTTCTCATTTTGATACGTTGACCCATCAGCCCGCGCACTGTATTCATAAGAATACGATGGCTCATGGTGTCGCAGCGATCTGCCTTGTTCATCAACAAATTGAGTATAATCTGTAGTTGGCGGTTGTTTTCGAACTATCTCATGTAGAGATGTTTCTTCTGAAACATCTCTTGGCGAAAACTGCTTAGTATGTTGTCCAAGTTCGTCAATGGGCCGAATATACTGATCATCATCATCGATATGAGATAAAAATGGTTTCTGTCTTATAATTTCGGTAGTTAAACCTCCATAAGCTCCCAGAGAGGGTTCTTGATTGTCGGTATAACGAATATATTGAGTATCTGCCCTTCCTTGTTCATTATACAATAATGGTTTATATTCATAGTCTCTTACAAGTACGCCTCGCTCGTCAATGTATCTATAATCCTCTGTTTGTGCACTAGCTCGTGATAACTGATGATGCTGAGGTACTAATTCGGGAACGGCTGTATGACTCGGAGGTTTTGTTGTTGGTGAAGATGATGACGATGCGGTGAGAACTGCTGCACCATGAAGAAACATTTCCTGGACAATTTTTATTAAGAAATCGACTGCTTCACCGTCGCGTTTTTCAGTTGGTTGCACCAACATACCACCAACTGATTGATCCGTTGTCGAGACCTGTTTTATGATATATGAATCGGATGAACGTGAGCTTATTGGATGACTAACAGCAGCGTCGATTGATCTAGAATCCTTTCGATCTTCAGTCGCCAATTTTTTTGACTTTTTTTGTTTATCTGCTAATTTCTTTTTGTTTTTTTCAGCCTTTTCCGCTTCCTTTTGTCGTTTTTTCTCCTCTTCGTGGCGTTGTTTCTTTTCTTTATCAAGTTTTTTCTTCTCTTTCGGATCTAATAACGGTGCTTTTTCGTCAACACCAACTGTTACTGGCAAATCAATAGCAGTGGGAGGAGGAGATGAAATGAGTGTGGCGCTAATTGTTGTGACATGTCCATCATCACTCATTGATGACGGTGTTGTTGTTAATGGTAAACTAGACAAATTTACATTTGGTTGAGTCGAAGATGATGGTGTATGTTCTGGCAACGATTGATAGGTTTTTTTAAGAGTAACCGGTGCACGAACAGGTGTTACAGTCATGTGTTGCACAGCATCAAATTCTTCAACTGGTGTCTCTTTTGGTTTTTTTGAAGATTTTTTCTTGTCAACTTTTTCTTGTTTTTTCTTTGGTTCTTTTTTTGGTTTAGCTTTTGTTTTTTTCGATATGCTGACGTTACTTTGAGACTGTTTTAGTGAAGCAATGTAATCGGGATTTCTCAGATTTGTTTCAATTTCGCGAATTCGATTATTAAAGAAATTTGTTTTTTCTCGTTGTTGATCAACAATGGTCAGAGGATTATTTATCAACGCATCAATGACGATATACTCATTTCCAAATGTCGGAAAATTTGTTTTATCATTTAGAATGCTCGTAGCTGGTAAAGCGTTTGATATCGATAATTTTCTTTCAATACTAGTATTGTCATCTTTCGATGGTAAACGGATCAGATGTTCTTTTGATGTTTCAGCGGTTGATGAGATGATAGGTGTGGTGGTAGTTGTTGATACAATTTCATCCTTAGACCGTTGTCGATCTTGTATAGCCTTCGTGAGATCTTGAATAGCTTGATGATCATCATTCAATTTTCGTGATGATTTTCGACTAGCTGCAGCTGCTTGATCAAGATCGGTAGCATGTCCAATTTTAATAATTGTCGACTTATGAGGTTCTGATGTTCGCTTAAGTTGATTTTCTTTTTCATCAATGTGTATTTTGTATTCTTCTGTACCCTCAATAACAGCCAAAGGTTCGATACTGTTCACAATTTCACCATCTTTGGTTTTATATCGTTTTGCTTCAACATTTTTTTGTAACTTGACTGGTTGTTCAAGTACTTTATCAACTGACGGTAATTTGTGCGATGATGTGCTTTGTCGATCGGTATATGTAGTTGTTGTTAAATTCGTTTTAACTATCGGAGACGCTATTACTTGAGGTGGTGTATCATACGTTGTTGTTAAGAAATTATCGTTTTTCGCTTTTTGTTCGAAAACATCATGTTTAGAATTAAATATTTCTTTGTGTGATGGATTTATAATGTTAGCATCAACAATAGCATCAACATCATAAGATGCTATCGTAGGAGATGGCGAAAATGATTGATCTAATATTTGTTGAATATTTTGATAGTGATGCTGAGTAGATAAATCATTCGTTTTACTATTATTTTCTATAAAATCATTTCGTTGTTCATCTCCATGTTGCTGTTGCTTGGCAGCTGATGTCTCCATAAGTGAAGTATACTGTGTAACATCTGATTGTAAATTAGGGTGCCTAAACAGAGGTGATGATGCTGTAACAAAATCGAGTGTTGGATGATTTGTATTGTAAATATGACTTTGAACAATTTGTACTAATTCATCGATACTTTCATTCGCCGTCGTTCGTGTCTGTGAATAATGATTTTTGTCCATTATTTAAATCATTACGTCTATTTTAGAAAGTAATTAAATAAAAAATCGTTTGTGTATGTCTACTATGTTATTTACGCTCTTAGTACAAAAGTAAAATAATATTATTTCATAAGACTATAATGTGATAATTTCCGTTGTTTTCTCATTATTATTGGTAATGGTGGTGGTTCGTATTTATATGTACGGAGTTTCAGATTTTTTTATTCGGTTGATCGACCTCATGATCGATGACATTCTATCGTCACCTCACCAAGTTGAATCTCAACAAAATCTCATCGAATAATAATAATAATAATAATATGCTGATGATTTTGATTATACGACGTTGTGTCTATATTTCGTTTTTTTTGCGTTTCTTCTTTTTTTCTGTCGTTCTCGTTTTTTAGTAATAGTTTTAATGATAGAAGAGAAGAGAAAGAAGAAAAAATTAAATTAAAAATAAACGTATTCTTTTTTAATTAGTATATTTAATAATAATTATCTAAAATTTAGTTTTTTTGTTCTAATAATAATTACTATTGTTAAACAGTATAATATACTACTATTTGAATCGTAACACTCTATACGGTCTGTAAAACAAATGTCTAAGCTCTCTCTTTATTTGTACCTAACTCTCCATATTTCTTTCTTGTTTTATTAATTACTCAACACACACATACACATACACACACTTACACATATAAATACATATATATGTATAGTGAGAATATTTTTAAACGGTGTAAAAAATCCCGTTATAGAGATAATTTTCTTTCTTCTTTATTCTCAGACATACACACTAAAGGAGTGAAAAAAAACCCGCAAACCTCAGAACATTTGTTCTTTCTTTTATCATCATCATCATCCCATGTAGTCTATATCTCTAAAAAGAAAAAGAAAAAACTGGATAGAAAAAAGAAATACGCTCAAAAAGAAAGATATTTCGAACATTTATATAAAATATAACTAATTTCTTTTTTTCTCACTCTGTTCTTTATCCATTGTATTAGATGCGAGTGTGTAAATAAAAGAAGTTGATTGGCCATATGTACATATAGATCTATACATACGTCTAAGCTTATAAATAAACAGGAACAAACATGTTCCATCAATACTGGAAGTATATAATTTAATACTAACGGCAACACTAGAGAAAAATATTTGTTACATTTCTTCTTTTTTTTTTCTTCCACTAATTCTATTTAAATTTAAAATGTTCAATATTTGAGTGTATTCCTATTCTTTTTTCTTCACAGTAATATAAAAAAGAGTGTTACGCAAAAAAAAAATATATTAAAACGTGACAAAACTACATAACGAATGGTATAATATTTAAATAGAAAGATTATACATTTTAAATTTCTCTCTATGTGGAGATTAAAAAAAAGATTTAAAGATATATTGATTAAACACAATAATCCTAGACAATATCCTACGACCTTCTTGCCTATTTCTTAATAGGATCTTATATGATCCTAATATTTAGGATCCACCTAAATAACTTCTTAACAGGATTCTAAAATCCTAGGATCCTAAGAAATTAAAGCAAAATTCTAGTAGAATATGTCTTGGATCCTGTCAGGAAACTCATAGGGATTTGACTAGGGAATGGATCGTAGCTAATACAAGAAAAATTTAAATTACCAGGAAAAATCGTCATATTCTTTAATGTTGAAAGAGAGAGTGACATATATCGTAGACATCTGATCATATTATAGGCGCATCTTGCAAAAGAAATGGAATTTTTTACAGAGTTAACAATACATTTAATTTTTTCCCGTTGTATATTATAAAAGATAAACAACTTCATTAATACTTTATTTCTTTTTTTAAAAGCTTTTTTTTCTGTTTTCTACAAAAAGATAAAATTTTTGTTGTTTTTTATATTCTCTGCATAGTATAAAGAAATTAAAAAAATTTTATTATTGAAAAAATAAAGAAAATGTAAGAACATTTTTTAGTAGACAAATTGGCAAAAAAGAAACAATAAGAATAAAAAAAAATTCAATCCGTACATTGGTGTTCGACTTCAGTTCACTTAGATTACCAAAACTGTACGATATCAATGTACTACTAAAATTAGAAATTGATGACTTGTAGACGTCACTTTTTGTTTTTTTGTAGCAGAAAAAAAAATGAGGAAATATTTGATAAAATATATCTTCATAATTTCGCATGTATTGCTCTACGTCCGCAAAAAATATTTTCTCGTTCAACCAGTTGTTTATCGTAAGTGAAGGATTTTTCATTTAAATTTCATATTAAAAAATCTACATAACGTCGGAGGAAAAGATCGTGTTACATAATAGATAAAAAACAACTTTTAATCCAAGATAAACGAATATTTTATCACTATCAAATGAAAAAAACCTACAATAAAGTATTATTTAACAAAGAAATATTCTAGTTGAACACACATGACCTATACCTAGTAGAACTGACCTCTTTCTTCATTAATATGAATAACGATTCATGTATTTTAACACAATTATATTTGTTTTTTCCAAAAAAAAAACAACAGAAAAACGAAGGCGATAGATAAATTATCATTGTCATTTTATATTTTTGGTCAATATCCATCAGAAGGACGATATATGATTACATAAGTGTCTACTATATCATATACAGTATATTCAATCCTTGAATGAGATTAATAATTTACATAATGGTCAATCCATTTGGAAATATAAATCTCAAAATAATAAATACGTGCGCACTTATTCTACATAAGTTAATGTACCATAATATATAAATATGGTTGTATGCATGAACAAACGACTTATTGTCGTACTTGCATATGTTTGATCAAATAACAAGGTTAGAGTTATAAGACGAAAGAAGAAAGAAGAAAGATTTCACATATAATGAAGGTTCAGTATAAATAAATAAATAAAACAAAAGACATAAAGTACTTGTGCTTCAAGATAGACTATAGGAGTCATAAGTTAATGTACCATATATAAATACGTTTGTATGCATGATCAAACGACTTTCTTACTGTCGTGTTTGCATACATTTAATCAAATAACAAGGTTAGAATTATAAGACGAAAAAGAAAGATTTTATAAAACAAAAGATATAAAGTATTTGCGCTTCAAGATAGACTATGGGAGTTTAACAAGTGTTCATTCAACAACTTATCTAATATCATATTTCAAACGTTTTATACTACAATTTTGAAATATTTGTTATGTCATACGAGTGATGAAAGGTTAAATGTATGACGCACACACACACACACACACACAAAAAAAAAAAAATTTTTAAATTTGTCACGGCTATCAAAATTAACAAATGTTGACTTCCACAGATTCATTTTTACTGTTCTCTGACACAATAATAATATAAAAATAATAGTGTGATCTACCTTGTCGTCTGAACTATGAATAGATTAAATGATCAGATTTTTAATCAATATATTCTAATGTAATTTTCGAAAACTTCGAAGAGCTTTCATATCATTCTTTAAAAATATTGTTGTTCGCTACAATTTATCTACTTCAAAAATTGTGTGAATCTGAATGAAACAAAGTTTATCTTAATCTTTAGAATCTCAAAGATGACAAAGAAGATAACTCAAACATAAGTTATTGCTCACTTGATGTCCCATTGATAAAACGAGAATCATAGGAATTTCAAAGACGTCTTATGGTTGAATAATGATAGAATTCATTGTTAAATGGGAGAATTAACAAGCAAGAAGCAATTCTACAATGCAAAGAGACGTGATATCTTTCAAAAGATCTACAATTTTCCCAATCTAATTAAAATTTTTAAACCATAGTGTGATAACATGGTTTTATTTTACACTATTGTTACATTATTGTCGGTCATAGATCTCATATGATGCGAGTACAAAAATTCATCTGAACTAGTTAAATAACCATCGTACGTATGAATGAAAATACTTTTCTTATCAAAATTATGGATACTATTTGATGTCGGAGTAAATTTTGATGGTGTATGATCTAATTCCAATATATGAAGGTTATCAATGCATGAAGTAATCTGTTATTTAGAAGTGTTAGAACATCATTGTGTTCAAATTTGTTAATTGTTACTACACTCTAAAAACACCGACTTTTTCAGAAAATTGAAATTGTGTTTTTCATTTGTCCCAAATAGGAATCTGATGTGAGTTTTCTGAAAATTTGCAAAGCTGATTTTTTCCTTTTCTAGAACAACAGAAACTAAGTTTTTCATTTTTTCAGATTCCTATTTGGAACATTTGTTTTTCAGACAACATCAGGTTGGAAAAACACATTTCTGTTCTTCTTTTCACCAACTAACTTTTTTTAATCAACATACAGGGTGATTCAAAAATAACTTATCCCTTTCTATATGATCTACGATAGCTTTAGAATTTAATTTTTGATCCGATTCGTTTTGCGATAGAAAAAGTTGAAAAAAGAGCTGCTAAGTAAAACTGTTTATATTTTTGAAAAGATTCCACCATAAACAGAGACTAAAAAAGATTTATTAAATATGAAGTCTATGCTGGAACAAAATGATCATTGTGATTTTTCAACTTTTCTATAAAAATTCTATAAAAGCTCTCTGAGCTCTCACTCTGTATTGTGAACTGGGGACTTACAAAGGTGAAGAAAACTATATAATCTATATTCGAACTCGCTCGTCGTTTGGAATATGATTCGACCTCGGTTGTTGAATCAAATTCCAAACGTCATAGGTGATCGACTCGAAGGGTTCGAGTCGAATTTTAGAACTCCGTTGTCAAAGACAAATATGTCCTCGAAGTGTGCACATTGTTGTACATAAGTAGAAATTTTTAAGAATAAGTTGAAGTTTATTCTCCAAGAAAAATCATGCGCTTTATTATGAATTGCAAAATAAAAGCGGTGATCGACATACGTGATTTTAAAGAACTCAATAGAAATATTGTGTTTTTCAAATCTTGAAAATCAAAATTTATGAAGGACTAAAATGAGCTGAAAAACTGAAATGAGTGAAAAACTCATATCTTATTGAAAAATAAAAACTAAGTTCTTCATATTACAAAGAACTTGAACGAGATCTTCAACTCGTTCTCTGAAAGTATGAAGAACACGTTTTTTTTATAATATGATCAATTTTAATAAAATTCAACTTTTTAGCTTTCATACATAAACAATGTATGAACTAAATACATAAAATTTTCCAATATACACGTTTTAAGACTATACAAAAATTTCTTCAGTATAAACTAATTTCACACAAAAATCCACACGCACGACTACACAAAAATAAACACTATCACAAAGAAATCATCCTATGTATTTGGTTCTTGTAAGTTTTGCTGTTTATAAATAAACTGACTAGAGTTGCGAAGTCTAGGTAAGCTCATCAACTGCGATTATTATCTCTGGTCGAAAAATGAGTCAAATTGTGAAAAAGTGTGTTTCACAGTGCAACAGATATTTAGATGGGATTACTCTCAGAAACAGTAGGACAATCCCATTGAAATGGACCATCTGGCAGCCCTGATTTCAATTAACACTTAAAGTGGAGTTTTTTTTCTTTGTTAATTGCTGTATAAATATCATGGTAAAAAGCAACGGGCGTGCGTTCTTATATATATACCACTCTCACTACAACTATACCACACATATGTTGTATCACTTTTTTTATCTGAGGATAAAAATATATCGACACAAAAAAGCAATGATGAAAGTCTTAGTTTACCTCTTGATCGATCGCTGATGTGTTTTTGTAATCCGGACGATGGTATTTCGCCACCTTTTAACACACGTTTGTAAATAGTTTTTTGTTTCTCATCGTTCAATAGATGATGTCTCAAATCGTTGTTAGCACTATCATTCGATTTATTGGATATTATTGGAATTGATGTATTATTTATGAGACTACCAATTAAAGAAATAGAATTATGTTAAATTCACATTACAACATATTCTCAGATGATATTTACTAATTTGACTGTGAATTAGACAGCGATGGTGCGTGATTGTAGAAGTGATTAGTCTAAATGAAATAAAAATAAATTATACTATTCATTTAGTGAATACATCAACGTTATTGTTGCTCCAACAAGTTTGTATTACAATATGAGTAGTATACAAGAATTTTAGGCGCTTAAAGATGGTGAATGATGTCGCCATATTACTATCATTACCGGTTTTGTGGAATTGTTATTGTATAGTGATGAATCCACCAGATAATCGTCTATTATAGTCGGTTTTCTCATATGATATTCATTGATATTTGAATTCGAATGATATGGAATATTTTTTATCGCATGTAATTGATTTTTTTGTAATAAATTATTACGATTTTCTCTAGAACATAAAAAATAATAATTAGTGATAACTAATACAATCACGCATATCGCTTCTTATGACATGTTTAGAATAAAACGTTTTAATAACGGCTTTTTAACTCGTAAAAATATAATTAGTGGATGAATGAGATTATTCATTGTTCCTTTGTAGTTATAATTTAAACTATCGACCACATTATAACTCACTTATTCTCTAAAACATTAATTAGAGAAAGAGTTTAACAATAGACATAGAAATACGTTACCTGCTATTCATACTAATTTGGCTTGAGTGTTTCCATCCTAAAACAAACGTTTTTTTCTGTTATATTAAAGTGTTTCTTTTTTATTAAACTAAAAACTTACTATCGTCGATTAAATTTGATTGTCCAACAGCTGCTTTCCTTATATATTCTTCCATTTGCTCAATATTACCATCAAATTGCTCTGGAAATTTATATGTTGGTTTGTAATTATTTTGTTCGTCTAATCAACAAAAACATATACTTGAATCAGTAAAATATTTTCTTATAAAAATTCGACTAAACACACGTGCAAATAGAAAATATGAAGTAAATGTCCATGCAGTTATACGTTGGTATATTGAAGTGTTTTTGTATCAGTCAAAACAAATAATCTTCGTCAGAAAACAAAAATGAATGGTGATGTAATACAAAATTTTATATTTGATGAAGATTTACTTTGCCAATCTTTGGCATTTTACTTATCAGAGAGATTAAGATATTGATATATATCAAAACTGTTCATAAAAATTCAGTCATTAAGCGAATGAGGAGAAATAGTACTGATAATACGCAACGTAACGATTATAAAAAAAGGTCTTATTTTTCTCTCTCTCTCTCTTTTGAAGAGGTAACTTAACATATCAGTGACAATTTTGCTACTCTTGAACGATAGATATTTCAGAAAGAAGAAAAATAACATAACCATAGCTTGTCAAGCCGGTAAGATTGTTGAACATAGATCACGAAATACATTATGAACTAATAGTAACATAAAAACAGTAAACATTGCTACATTTTACGAACAATGATTATAGCTTCTTATAAATATAAGCAAAAACATATTTCAGTCATAATGAGTTTTTACATAAAGGAGATATTTTATGGGAGGAAATGAGAATGTACATGAAAAAAATCTGAAAATAGAGAAATGCAAAATTTCGGTTTTCTCTATATCATTTAGTATTAATATTACAGCACTAGTCTCTTAATAGTGAAAATATCCAAAAACTAGGATAATCACCTTTTTAAAAATAATAAAAACAACTTTAATAAGCCGTTTGGGGTTTTCTTAAGCGTACGATGGTATATCGGAAAACAATATGATTTTTAAAACTTCAGTGAGAGTACAACAAAACATGCTTGTTAAAAAAAACAGTACGAATAAATCTGAAAACCTATGTCGCAATTGTGTTGTAGGTAACTTAACTAATACTATCTCTAAAAGAAGTTAGTTATACCGACTTAATTTTCTTATATATCATATCAAATGAAAACAAACTTCAACTGAAAGTAAAGTGTCATATATATCATACCTGGTTTGATATCTGGCTTATGAAGATGATTATACATATGACGATACCACTGTGTCTGACTTTTATCATCAATCGGCTAAAAAAGAAAGAAGTAGACGTTAAATATTTTCCAATGGTCTATACATGTATAGTGTGTCGCCAGTTGTTTAATGATGAAAATTGAATTCCACAACAAAATAAACGGTTTAGCATACGTTGAGCCAACATCGACCACATTTGTGAATTGTGTTCTATACGATAATTTAGTTTTTCACTTAGAGAAAAACGTTAAAAGTCCCCTACAAATCTTCTTTTTTTCTTCGTGCTGCATACGATTTAAAAACGACTTTTAAATTAAGAAACATCATATGCATAAACTATGGAGAAAATCTTCCCATTGTTAAATTTTCTATGTGATTTGTCTTATCAAAACGAGAAAATAAAAAAATGAGTTTTGATCCGTTTTTTCATACTAAAAACCGAAACAAAACGCTTTTTTTTATTTTCTCGTTTTGATGAGACAAATCACGTAGAAAATTTGACAATGGGTCATTCCAGAACACTCAGCCATTCGAAAGTTATATACGACACTAGGCTATTTATAGAACACATTTTTCTCATGATTAATGATGATAACTAGATAAACGGTGTTTGTTTTAGAGTGAGTTAGACAAAAAGGCAATGATGATTATTACATCACCTCTCTATTTTCATTGATTGCTTTAATTTCAGCAGAATATTTTAAACGGATGTATATTAAATCTTAAGAATTTACAATTTTTAAAACAAAGGAAAGGAATTTTAAAAATTGTTTTGTAATCGATGTTTTAATAGATAGATGCATATCGTATATCCATAAAAGATACGAACATTCAGCATAATAGAAATATCTTATTTGACGTCTACAATGTTTCCTTTTTTTTCCAACAAAAGAATTTATATATCTAAAGGTACAATTACCTACTGTCAAATGGTTAACATAAGTATCCTGACTAATTTCCATTTCTTTTTTCTTATTATATTCGTTCAATTGTCAAAAATGATGATGTGTTGGTGTTTTTATCAGCCCTTCTCAAATAGATACATATAAAGTAATCAAAACATGATTATGTGCTGTTTTATTAGCATTCATAATTTTTTTTTTTTTTCAAGAAAAGAAGGAAAGAGTGCTCTCTTCTTTTTTTTTTTTGTATTAGTCTACGTTTGTAGTTTGATGGATGTATATATATTAATGATTCTTTCTCTCTTCTTCTCACACTATACACTTGTATATATATTTCCATTATGCAATTTTTAAGCAATGCAAATAATAAAAAAGAGTTTACGAATCTATTTATATTTAAGTTATGTAGAAGGAGAAAGAGAAGGTGTTTGTACCGGATATTTTTTCTTTGGGTCATAAAGATGAAGAAAGGTGCCAGTCAAATAGAGAAGAACAAACAATTTTATAGGCATTAAATATATCACTTTATAAAATAATTTTAAATATATATTTTTGCACTTTTTCTTTTCATATGTCTATCACTATAACACTAAAAGATTATCAGATAAATTGACAATAAATAATTGTTTTTGGCTGTTGTCTTTTTGGAAAAATGAAAATAGACTACATAAATCACAAACCAACAGATAATAGATGTTGATATCGATTGACAGAAGAAAACTGAAAACTATGACGAACGACTAGTGATGTTGAAACACTAATTTATATTTATTATATTAATTATGTCCTGGAGGGAGTGTTGACATAAATATGTCACTCATAAAAAATAGATTATTTGTTGTAACAGAAAAAACTTTTGATTTCATCATATAAAATCAGTAGAGAGATTTGAATGGATCTTATTCAATACTTTCTTAGAAAAAATTCTAATTACAATGATGATAGATAGGCTCAAGAGCATTAATAGAATAACAGATTAATTCGTTAGTCTATCTATGAAGATAAATGTTATCATTTGATGACTCTAGTAATTAATTATTGACATCATTATGATAGAAGAAGTATTTAGAAATTTTAAGAAGGATGTAGGCCAAAAAAAACGGAACAAAAGAAGGTGACATGCGTGAAGAGTCGTTTGTTTGTTAATTTTATGTAAAAAAACAGCACACGTAAACGAAATTATAAAATAGATTCTCAATTGTATGACTTCTGTCATTTACGAAATACATGTCTGTTCGTAGTACATACATTTACGTTATTTCTACAGTCAAGTCTGTACTTATGATACGATACAATAAAAATGAATTAGACGCCAGTGAGAGACACCTTACTTGATAAAAATCACTACTGTAATATCCTTTTTTTTAGCGATATAATGTAAACAGTGTGCTATATGAACACATCAAATATCTGTCGTGTTTACATTATTGTCGTTGATGCATAAATAGAGATATCATAATCAACAAGATTGATCTCTCTTTAGATAGATAATGAATGTAATAATCATCTAGTTCACAATGTCTGTTTATTTTCAATGTTTTTATTTCTGCCAACGAACTAACAACTTGCCAAACAAAATATAAGAGATATATATATATATAGTACCATCATCAATCGATAGACATCGATTCTAAAGATATAGGTGTGTACTAACAAACAAACATATCAGACTCTTTTAATTTCAATATCAAGAAATTTCTAAAATCAATTTGCTTGTTTCCAAGACTATATACAGATGAGTTAGTCTATTGTTATGAAATTACGTCATGTACAAAATTGAGTAAAAATCAATAATAAATTTTTAAAGTGTTGCATATTTAATTGAGTTAATCAATCAAGTATATATTTTCGATGAAAAATAATAGCTGAGCTACTTCTGTACTAAACAACTCTAACAGTTCACTATATTTCAAGTTGAAAATGACGTAAATTTGACACATTTTCTCTGCACTTCATTCTTAACACAAAGATGCCGTTTTTTAAAACACGAAACACGCACACTATCGAAAATATATACTACTATTTATAGTTAGAGATGATAATATTAATATGTTAGAACTACACTAATTATGAAAGTGAGACAGTTTACTATGACAATAAAAGTACATAGTTTTATGGCTGTTTGAAATTTGACAGATAAAGTTTATTCATAAAACTATGTATTCTTTTTTTAAACAGAGAATGTTTTTGTCGACACAAGTCGGCAAATAATAAGTCAGTACAGTTGATTCTTAGTTGACAAATCTGAGCAGATAAGTCGTCTCCAATGTCTTCTATTAACATGATGTATTATTATTAAGACTAAAATATAGAGACTCATTTGTAGAAAAGGAAATGAACAATATTACTCGTATCTAGAAAAATGATTTGCAGTATTCTTTTCTATGAACAAATATCTTAATCTATAGTTGAATATGTCGAAAAGCCTACACTAATTAAATAGATGTATGATGTAATTTATTATCGTAGCTTTAACTAAAACTTCAATCATATACTGTATCTCTCTTAACCACTTCTTTAAGCGTGTAAACACACATGTATACCTGAGAGCATCGACAATTTCCATTTGTGTTTCCAATAATAATGTTATTATAATCCATATTGTGTGTTTATTATTCTATATTACATCTAACTGTTTCAATTTAATAAATATGAGTATATTCAATTGCTTTGTTTTGATCATCACACAATATTTATAGGAGAAAGCAAAATGATAAATATGAAAATTGTTATACATGTAAAAGGGAGAGAGAGACATATAAAGTGTAATGATAATAACAATAAATGTCAAGAAAAAAAATGCGATTAAATATCAATCATTTTCAACCGATTCTTTGTATGCCTTCGTAATAAAGAAAAACCAACAACTGATTTTACTTCCAACAGTTCAAGCTTTCTTTCTCTGCTTTTTTTTTGTTTCAATAGCACACTCTATTCAAAAGAAGTGTACCTCTCAACATCTATAATATAACATTGATCAAGGTCGACTGTGACTATGATCTTCTTTCGTCTTACTGTTAATATTGTTGTTGTTTTTTTTTTACATGAACAAGAATATAGTTAAAGAACTTGGACTTATGGTCTATGTCCTCATGAAAGAAAGAAAAAAAGAAGGGAAAAAAATGTTCAATCTCTTTTTTTCACCTTTTCTTCTTTTTTCTCTTTTTCTCCTATCTAGACTATTCATTACGAGCAAACATCTCGAAATCTCGTATATGTACGTACATAAGCAAATAAATAGAATGAACGAGTGTTATCCGTTTCATAATCTTACTCTTGGAACTTATTAATTATCATCTTATAACCAACAAGAGAAAAAACATGGACTTTTTTTTCCAACAAAATAAAGAAAAATGCATCTTGATCTACAGTAGAAGAATTCTTATGTGCAGAGTTATTACACAAAAATAAACCACAAAGAAAATCAAACAAAATAATTTTATCTTTGGTATGAACTTATTAATAGATAACCTTATACATGGCCATTTATGATACGTATGAAATGAGAAGAATGAATGGTATTCTTTTCTAGTAAATTCCTATTAAAGTTACATATTGATGTACTAAAACAAGAGAAAGTTTACTTTCACTCAGAGAATGGATTCACTCTCTAAATCCACTAGCTCATACGGTGATTAATTTAGCCACAATGAGTATTCGGAAACATATTATTTCATTAAAATTCAAAGTAAGGCCACGTGACATTACTTCGATGTGTATCAGACAGTTTGGATTCGATGGAGATATCGAACTACTTAGTTTTAAATTAAACTAACAGAATAAAAGCACACGAACACATAGACTGTAAGCTGATTATAAAAAAAGTTCATATCATCAAACATTCGAATATACAGTTTTTGAAAGAGACGACAACTTTTTCTTACTTCAGGACGTCTCTTAAGACAGTTTTTCACAAAAATTAAGATCTACATTTTGTCGAGACTAATTCTATGAATTTCTAGATCGAATAATAAATGAGTTAATCAAATTCCATTTAAGTCATTCCTCTTGAATGTAAAGCGCAGTTTTTCGATACATTGAAGTTTTCTTACGGTGTGCATAACTTACTTACGAGAAACATTTCTGTTATATCCACACTATTATGTTAATTGTCAGTCGTGTTGGTCAGCAAAATTTTTCTTAGAAAAATCATTTTTTATCGAATTATTTCAAAAATAAAATTTTGTACTTAACTAACATGCAGATTTTGGTGCATGTCTAATTCAAAAATGAAATATAGCCGCTAATTGTTATGAATACGTGATTGTCAAATATATTAAGTCAATTATTCTTCTTTTAAAGGTATATATTCTATTACTGTGAAACTTATCACCAAAACTTTTTTAATACTATTTATAACATATTTTGCTGATTTTATTTATATTTGCTAAGATGATCATAGTGTTAAAGGTTAAGTGATACTTGTTCTATTGATATGCTAATTGATTCACAAATTTTGACTTTTTTTTCTTCTTTTTTGTGATCAAATCTTCTCTTATTCAAAATTCTCGACTACTGGCTACTATTAATTATTAAATACGTATGAAACAGTTCTTATTAGTCTGCACACAATACGGATTAGAATCGTACAAGAATGGTTTTAATTCCTTCTCCACCCCTTCAAAAGAAATCCTATATTAACAATTTGCATGAATAACCTTTGAAGAAAAGAATTAAATAAAAAAATTAAGATATAGTTAGTTTTAGATGAATTTTATCAGACTTTTTAACATTGTCGTACCATTTAATGAAAAGAGAAAAAAAAATTATTCCAGTTTATAATACATACCCTGCTCTGAGCATAATTCAGTTCTGCTTCAATGACTGGAGCAATGCCTTGAAGTCGGCTTACATCAATTTTCTGCGTTGTAAGCGAACGTGAAGCAAGTTTTGTTGATGATGTCTTCTCATTGATATGAGATGTATCAACATCTAAGATGAAAATGTCTCTTTTTTATTTTTAATAATATAAGAAATGTAGCCTACAATTTTTATGTTACCTTTCTGAATTGGTATTATATATTCACTACGATGATAGTTGGTGATAGATTTTGGTGACGACGATATCATTGATAGTTTATTATTTCTATTTTGATTATTGTACGAATAACCTGATGATAATTGATTTAATGCTGAACGTACATCGTCGGTCGAACGAGTTTGACGTTGTGTAGCTTCCGCATAGAGATTATTCGTATATGAATCCGTATTATTAAAAATATCATTATCAAGTTTAAAACGTACACGACGAGAAGATGAAGAATGTGAAATCGTTGGTGTATAAGTGTGAGGCAACGATTGTTCTTGAAAACTATGAGAATTTAAATTTGAATAAGAACGAGATAATAATGGTTTAAATGAAGCAGAATTTGACGAGTCATAACGTGACTAAAAATAAAAATAATTAATGAAATAATTGATTAATAGTTATCAAAAATTATATATACATTGAGATAATCAGATGATGTTTAAAATCTTATTCTATTTCTTTTCTAGTTCATAGTCAAATACGTTGTTTTAAATTGACCTACTGTTTATTTTTAAGAAAATCGTTAGACGATCAAAATCATTTTCTTCATTTTTTAATTTTTTTTCTTATTTTTTAAACTGCTTAAAAAAAAGCCTTAATAAAAATGTTATTATTATACTTCTTTCTTTTTCTTTTTTTGAACTCAAATCATAATCATGATAACAGTTAAAACATTTGTTCAAAACTTGTTTTATTTTATTTATAAATAATAATCATAACATGCATTCTTATAAAATCAGAACAGGCACACTTCTTATCCCAGGGGAAGTAGAAAACAAAGAAAAAAAACAAAAAAAATCAAACCTTTAGAGAATAGGAGAAAAAAAAATCTTAAGACTTTTTTTTCATTACAAATAATAATAACTAACTCAAGGATACTATTATGTATTTTAAAACCTTAATCAGTAGCCATAATCACATAGGTTTACAGTAATCGTTCAACTGTAATAGTTGACAATCGGTAAAATATGCTGTAGGTATTTCAAACCATATCACATGTGAAAATCTCTTAATGAAATATTCAAAATCAGTCACTTTTTTTCTACTAATGGGAACAAATAACTGTAGTGAATTTTGATTCTATAATCTATATTTTTTTGACACAGATTTCTATATTGTATAATTGTCTAGATTGGTTTATCTCAGTAAGAAAGTACGATAAGATTGACGCTAGTTTTTAGTTGAAAAGACGAATATTTCTTTTTAAATACATTGAAAATCTGAGAAATATAGTAGACGAATAAAAGTCTTCATTTATTATTTTTATTGAGATAAAATGTTGCCTATTGTAATGATTTTGATTCTTGAATAACATGTTGGATATGAGAGAAAGAGAAAAATAAAAAATTTGAACTTGTTTTTACCTCGTGCAGATGCAATGGTACACAAATGAAATCAAATTGATCTAAGGTGGCACTGTCTAATGTTCGATGACGACGACGATAATGATGGTGGTGAGATTTTTGTTTTTGTGACTTAATATTCATATTTTATCGTTGCTCATTGATTTATACATATTAGAACGATCTATTGATTACCTGTGCCTAAAAAAAAATGATACATAATTAAAGACGCTGTATATCAATAGAGAATAAAGATACTATTTTTATACTCTAGACTCTCATTTATGTTATACGATAAACAAATCATCAGAAAACGGCCAACTTTCTCTTTAATTAGATAAAAGATCTGTGAAAGTTTTTTGAAAATAGTAGTAATCGCATATACTCAATTTAAAACGAGTATTTTTTTTTAACGGAACTTGATCCCATGAAGTCATATAGCAAGCACAAGAATTAAAAATAGGCCTTTTTTTTTAACCAGAAAAAGTGTCAGAGTGTCCATAGGGCTTTGGTCACGTTAAAATATAATAAAAAATGTTTTCACATACTATACTATCTACCTATATAGCTTTTGGCAATTGAAGTGATCATTGTGTTTATCATAACACACTATGTACTAGGTGAATGAACAAATTATCGCTAAAAAATTATTTTATTCGTATTATTCATATACTATGAAATTGATATCACTTACCCAAAAAAACATCATTTATGAATATTTTAATATAATTACAAAATAAATTCTTTTCTTCTCATTATTTATTTCCTTATCAGATTAATTCATTTTTTTGAAAAAACAAAGGAAAAGATTGTTTGTTATGATTTTTAATTTGCCTTGTCACATACAACAAGGAATAATAAATATAACAATTCAATCAAATATTTAAAGATTAGAAAAATCTGCTAAAAATCCTTCTTTTTTTCTTTCGTTAACAAACGATGTTAGAAGAAGAAAATTGTACAATAAGATAGTTTTTTTCATTTCGAATGATATTAGCGAATATTACAGAAAAATATACATACATAGAGAGAATAGAAGTCAATGGTTTTAGTACCATTTATATGAGAGTATAAGAGGATATGTAGAAAAACGAGGAAAAGAACTAGAAACAGATATACAAAGATGTTACGTTAAGATTAATGTTCCTTATATAGTTAATACGGTTGTTGTCAAATAATCTATTTCTACATAGTATTATTATTCTCACACACATACACAGAAGAGAGATAATAAATGAAATTTTGGCATATGTAGATAATAAAACTTATAAGCAGGAAATAGAACAAGTACAAGAGTTTTGACGTAATGATCAACTTCATGTGGAATAGAAAAACAATTAAAGTTAGAGACATGTATAAATATTGTGTGATTAGCACATGGACAGAATAAAACAATGTTTGTATCGATAATTCACGTCAATCTTCATGTCATTGAATAAAAAACTTAAGAACAACAGGAATCCATTACTAAAATGTCTGTCAATAAAACATTAGAAGAATTTATAGTAATCATCGTATTTGACCATGATCACGATCGTATGATCACTTTTTTTTTAACTTTTCATAGAATAGACAACACTTTTCTAGCACCGTTCCTTGAACTAACCATGAAATAATTTGAAGCAATTAACGATCGTTGGAACGCGTTAAATACGAAATATCTAACAGATTAATCCACTTCTCTAAGGCGTTTCATCGTTTCTTTTTCGAAAGTACGTTCGATCTTGGGAATTTAAACACATTAAACATTAACATCTCAGCGCAAACTCAAGTAAATGAATATTCTTAATGATTTAGAGTTGTGTTAACACGATTATATTCTTCCGTACATTACATCTGATAAACTAATAGCGTATTCGTTAAGCCAGAGCTGGGCAATTCCGGCTAAGTAATCTCCCTCTCCCGTAACAGAAGCCCTCCCCATATTAGGAACCCCTTCTAAAGGAGTCGATGTGGAAGGTGTATTACAAGCTCCAGGGCTTCTATTACGTCCGAAAAATAATTCAACTTTTAATTGTTCTAGTGTGATGGGGTTGGGTGACTTTCATTAAAGCGTTTTTTTTAATGAAAGTACCGAAACTTTCATTAAGCCCCCCTCCCCCCCCCGTTTCACGTAGATCATCGATTAGAAGGAATTGAGTGGACGCATTCAAAGGCGTATGGCGAAAACTTTTGTTTATTCCATATGGTTCTGTCGTGATCACCGTGAAATCAATAAGGACTGCACCTATAATCCTTCTTCACATATATATGTGTTATCACTCCTGTTGTTGTTGTTGTTCTCTAGTTAGATTCGTTCGTTCTTGTTCTCATCTTTCTCTTGTTCATC